GTAATACTTTTATGCATTCTGAAAGCTCTAGCTGTGAGCTTGATAGAGTGTGGTCGGTGGAATTTGACTCTCCTAAAGTCTTATCCTCAACAAGTGCTCAGAAGCCATAGGGCTCTCTCAGGGCAGTCGGACTCGGACTCGGACTCAGCCTCGGGGTTGAGGGCAGGTGCCACCTCCTATCAGCTGGGTGACCTTGGGCAAGTCACCCAAACTGCATCTACTTCTCTCCTGTAAAGTAAGGGTGATGAATAAATGACCGGACAAATGGATGCCTGCTCAGCTCCTGATTGAGGGTTTGGGAAATTTCACACACGTTGTTAATTATTCACACCACATTACGAGGTTAGTAGTAGCATTTTCATCCCATTTCACAGAGAAGGTTAGTGAGGCCCAACTGTGTCTGGGACTTGTCCCGATCGAGCTGGGACTCAGAACCCAGCCCTTCTGGTCCTGCTTCTCATTGTCTGACTGTCCAGTCCAGCTTGCCCCATCTTGACCGGGGAACAGCACCGAGCAAAATATTTATAAACAGGTAAAGAATACGTGTGAAATGGCCTTGCAGATGAAAAATACACACAAATATAAAAGGTTATTTTGTGTCCCAGGATCCTGAGATAACATTTTTCATGAATCTTGTTCTAACAGTTTGGTTGTTGTTTATTGTTAAAAGTTGTTGCATTTGGAAGAAGGAAAAGAATATAAGAGGACTTTCAGAGTATGATGAATATGCATGTTGTTTTTGCATTGGGCTTGTTTTTAATTCAGATCCTTATCATTACCTTTCATATTTTTCTCCTTTTGTCACATAGAAGTCTTTAATTGTACTGGTTCCTTGCAGAAAAATTAAGAAATACCGATAAACCCCAGAAAGGAAAATAGGTAAAAACTATGCATAAACCACCACACACACAGCAGTAGTGGCTGTTCACATAGCTGTCAGCATACCTGTATCTACATCACAATACTGAATCTTGAGGAGTCAAAGATAATCATGCAGTATTTCATGAACAGTAATTTTTTTTTAAATAATTAAGGACTTTGACCTTGAAAATAGGACAGAAAGGGAGAGAAACCATTTTCCCCCAGACTGCACCTGTAATTTCAGCCACTGGAAAGGGGTTCCACTGGAACTTACTGACCGGTGGAGCTTCACACTGATGCCTGACGAGGAAAACTGGCAAGATAAGGAACAGCTCGGCCGGCACTCAGTTGTGATTTAGATAGACATTTGCTAGGACGGCAAAAGTCAGGTGAGTCTGTAAAATTGCTCCATCCACAGAGGTTTCTGTTTCTGGTGCCTTGGTCCCGAGCACGGTGGGTGAATGATGATATAAAAGCATGTGAACGCTGTGCAGGTTATGACACAGATACACCGGAGGAAGAGCGGGGTCTACAAGGGCATCCGAGTCCATGACACAATTATGGTTTACATCAGCCTCTCTTCTCTTCCTGTAGCAAGCCACACGTGAGGGCTTGCTTGACAGTTGCTGGTTCCTCTGCCGAGGGACTGTTCCCCTAGCTCTTCGAAGTCAGTCTAAATGTTACTTTCGTTTAGATCTTCCCAGACCACTCCCTCTGAAGTGGGTTCCCCCTTTCCCTACCACCCAGAAACTCACATGGCATAACCATCTTCTATTTCTACTGTATACTTGTCAGGCCATGAAATTATCTTACTGATTTGTTTGTTGCCTGTGTGCTTCACTGGCCAGTGAGGCTTTTGGAGCAAAGAACGCACTGGTCTCGCCCACCATGGCACCACACGGTGTAGCCCACAACAAACACCCTGAGATGCTCACTTGCATGAGTAAATCATGTTACAGTTGTTTGTAAAGTGGATGTCTGTGAAACTTTGTTATTTATTATTATTATTATTAAAGATTTTATTTATTTATTTGAGAATGAGCACGAGTAGGGGGAGCGGCAGAGAGAGGGAGAAGCAGACTCCCATCTGAGGCTGAGCAGGGAGCCTGACACAGGCCTTCATCCCAGGACCCTGAAATCATGACCTGAGCCGAAGGCAGATGCTTAACTGACAGAGCCACCCAAGTGCCCCCAATGAAACTTTAAACTCACTGAATAATTTTCAAAAGCGTTCATATTTGGTTAAATTTAAGATGAAATGTTAAATAAGATATGGCCATGAACTATGTAAATAAAATTGAATTTACCAGTACTCAAAAGTAGGATACAGCATAGGTGGTGGAGGACACTTTAGAATTCAGGGTCTTTCAACTCTAGTTGCTCTACCTACCTGCAGTGATAGTCGTGTCTTGGTTGAAACTGGTTGTCATGGTGGCAAAATACTAAATTTCTCACTAGAGCAAAGAGATGGATGAACAAAAAGACTTTCAATTCCAGAGATGTGACAAATACACTCCTTTATTAAAATATATGGATTTATTTAAATATACATCTTTATCATCTAAAAAGTGACACTATGAAGCGCCAGAAGTACATTTTATATCTTTTAGGAAATATCATTTCTGAAAACTCCTGTAATAAAATAATTGGTCTAGGGATCCCTGGGTGGCACAGCAGTTTGGCGCCTGCCTTTGGCCCAGGGCGCAATCCTGGAGACCCGGGATCGAATCCCACGTCGGGCTCCCGGTGCATGGAGCCTGCTTCTCCCTCTGCCTATGTCTCTGCCTCTCTGTGTGTGTGTGACTATCATAAATAAATAAGAATTTTTAAAAAAATTGGTCTATTTTTGAAGTTGGTCTGGAAGAGTGTAGAAAGTTCTTTTCAAGAGCACAAACCTTGTGTGTGATCTCTATTTTTGTGCGCACTCCTCTCTTGAATCTTGACCTTTGTGGGTTATAGTCACAAGCAGCTGCTCTGGGGAAGGGAGAGAAGGGCGTGGGTGTTTGGTTTTAATTCACCTGAAGTCTTAAGCGGCAGGAAAGATAAAAGGAAGTAGGACTTTGTAAACTGAATGAGGGATCATGTGCTGTGCCAATGCAGGAGGAGCTCGTGGAAATATAAATGATTTATAGGTGTGGGACATTGATGCCATATAGTCAGAAAAAAAGGGAGGAGTTGATTCCCCCCTTCACCCCCCCCCCCAAAAAAAAGCCTATTTGGAGCTCCTAGGCTTGGAGTTCTGTAGCTTTTCACAAGAGACTCATAATTGGCTTTTTAGCCTCAAACAGCCTTTTTAGCTCCCGAGAATGTGGATTGAGTCTAATTCAGTTCACTAGTTAATTGGTTGAAATGATGCATTGTGATTTGAGCCAGAAGGAGCCGGACCCTGCCTGCAGGCAGCTTTAAGGGAGCATCCTGAAAAGGCCTGTGACTTCACGTAAATTTATCCTTTGTTGCAAATTTCCTATGTTTCCCTCTGGTCTTTCTTTGACTTCAAATTGCAGTCAGGGTCCTCAGCAACTCCCCAGATCATTTGTCAAAGCCCCCCTCCCTCCGCCAAGGAGTCTTAATACTTTCTGTAACTAACTGATAATTCCCTGCCCTCTGCCCCTCTCCTTCACCTCCACCCCCCACCGTTTCTCCTCCTCTGTGACACACCCCACAGTATGTTTGGCCTCATCTCACAGTATTTCGCAGTGGCCTTGGCCATCTGCATGGACCCGCACAGATGATCCTGCCAGTCTGTGAATCTGGACTAGCTTTCCTAATGAGGGCATTATTTGCTTTCTAGCCTGCCCCCTTGTTTATAAAATATGCCAAGAGAACTAAACAACCCGCTGTTCCCAGTACTTACTTACTTGCCCAAACCAAATGTTTATGTCCTTGAATACTAAATTTGAAGAAAAAGGATTCCTCCTCATGGGAAAGCTTAGCATGATTGCTGAAGGGTCTTTCTACACTGTAGCTGAAGGCCTGTTTTTCAGTAAACATGCAACTTAATCAGTTATTTCAGGAACTATTGAGACTCACCATCCACACACATCAGCTGGCCTTGGGTGGGGGTGGGGGTGTAGGGAGCAGGGTGCTGTCCTAGGATTCTCTCTCTGCTCTGATCCTATTGGATCAAAGCACCTTCTCCAAGAGCACTCTTCCTCACCTGCAAGCCTCCCACACACACACACACATACCCTGTTGGGAAATGAAACTCTGCTCCTCCCCCCAATACCTCCCAGCCTGGTGGCAGCATTTTGAGCTTGGCTTGTTGTAAACCATGATTGGAATATAACGTAGGTCCTGAGAAAGAAGACAAAAAAGGAGTTTGCAGTAACCGTATACCTTGTTGCCTAGACCTGTGGCCTGCCTGCTGTAAAGCTAGTTGGTACTGGGGCAAGGTTCTGGCCTCAGCACCTGGCTCAGAGTCACTTGGTAGAGCTTCTGGAACACAGGCTGCCTGCTCCCCGGCAACTCAGAACCTAGTACCTTGGTTTCCAGGATGCTGACCAGGTGAGGCTGATAGAGCCAGGATCCAGAGGCTGAGCGTCCCCTCAGGCCATGGCTGATGTGTTTGGTTCCTCTCAAGTACATCTGATGTGAATCACCTTATTTATCTTCTGGCATGTTTTGTGCTGAAGACACATTTGCCACCTTTCCTTGTTTCTTTTTCAACAGGGAGAAACATTTACTTGTTACCTTTGCTAGATTATTTAGGAGAAGAGTGTAAATTGAAGCCATATATCTTGAAACATGCTGCAAGGGCCCATTGTTTACACAAGTGAAAGAAATTGTAACGGGGGTATTTGGTGTAGTCTGCAAGGAAAAGGTGTCTCAAGTTTTCCTTCCCCTCCCCCTCTATATGCGCGGTGTATTAGTTAGAAGGTGCACAAAGCACATATGCAGTGGCTTTGCACATGCATCGGGCAGGTTCATGGGTTTAGTGAATAATTTTTTATGTATTTTAGTGGTGAAATGAACATTGCCAGTAATAATAAAGTGAATGTTACCGCCTCCCCCCAACATCAGCCATACATTCTCATGACCAGAGGTCATTTATCATCCATCTTGTAACTCCTAGTGAGATAACAGAACGTGAATTTGTGGGGACGTTGCCGTTCTAACTGAAACCTGTACATGTTTGTCAGTTGGTGGACGAGTAAGTCGTGAATTAAATTATACTCGCCAGAAGATTGGAGAAGAGGCTATGTTTAATCCTCAACTCATGATTCAGACCCCGAAAGAAGAAGGTGCTAACGTCCTGACCACAGAAGCTCTCCGACAACACCTGGACTCAGCGCTCCAGGCCAGCCGGGTCCATGTGTATATGTATAACAGGTAAGTTGGGAAGAAGCTGCTGGCTTTAGAAAGTAAGGTTGCCCTGGAAATATGTCTAGAGTGTTAGTTCAGACCGTTTTCTAATGAAGTGATTTTTTTTTAATCCTGATTTTTGTTTCTAGAGTTTGGTAACACATAAAATACATGATAATGTATTTTCAGTAAGTATCTTGGCACTATGGACCCAAATGAGTATGATCCTTCAAGCAGCCATTTGGGTGGCTATATACCTATTCTGAAGATGTTTCATTGCTTAAGATATTTTTGGAGCAGTTACATTTGGAATTGCCTTTAGACAAATTAAGAATGAGAAAAGGAAAAGAACTCGCTTCTAGCTTTTTGCTTTGTATTCACCACAGATACTGACAGCTGGTATGTGTCGCAAAGCCTATAGTAGGCTGAGCCACTGTGGTGAATTCTTACTGACAGGGAGGCAGATAAGGTGGAATCTGACACAGCTTCACAAAACACTACCCTTTAGCTTCATAGCTAATTTAGCAATGCTATGGGTGTGGTAAAAGCATACAAAGAATTCTGGATCAAAACTGACAGTCCTTTATTCTTCTCTATTTAAACAGTGAGTTATTCAGGGCAGGGACCATATCTTGTCCATCCTTACACCCCAGCGTTTAGATCAGGTAGGGCATTCAGAGTTTGTTGATTGACTAACCATCTAGACTAAATTTGAACTAGGTCTTCTCCCTGAACTATTGAAATGACTAAACCTGTTTTCAGAGGACCACTGAGTTGGCACTTAACCTGATCCCATCCTGTCCCTCACCAAAGGCTTTTAAGCACCTTTTTTCTTTTTAAAGATTTTATTTATTTATTTATTTATTTATTTAGAGAGTGCAAGCAGTGGGGGGGAGGGGCAGAGGGAGATGGAGAGGCAGAAAATCCCAAGCAGACTCCACACTGAGCATGGGGTCGGACACAGCTTGATCCCACCACCCACGGGATTGTGACCTGAGCCAGAACCAGGAGTCGAACACTAAACTGACTAAGCCACCCCGGCACCCCTTTTAAGCACTTCTTAACTGAGTGGGTGATGATACAGTTTTTCACAGGACAGGTGAGGAAGTGGCACGTGGACATACTCAGTGGCCAGGGAAGATGAGGGGGGATAACAGAAGGAAAATCGGTACTTGTCCCAGTTATGACAACCTCTACTCTCCATAGTCTTACCTGGATTGGCTCTAAGACCCATCTAGCTGAAGACAGAGCCCTAAGGTCCAGCAGGAGTCACATGCTCTTGTTTCCTCATATGTAAACTAGATTACTGATCAAGTGTGGTCTACTATCCTTAGTAGGTTCTGAGAACAAAATGAGATATATGTAATGTATGAAAGGGAAAGCGTAAGGAGATATTCTAGCACTTTTGTCAGGCAAACTTGACTGGCGAGCACACCCGGCTCCTATCAGCACATCCCTCTGTAGAGGAAGTAACTGCCCAGTGGAGTTTTGCAAAATTTGTAAGTAGAGGCCTTGTAAAGAACCTGTAAATGGGCATTCCAAGGCCACTGTAAGCATGCTGACCCATTTTTAACATAATGGGACCCTATCTTGAAGGGACTTGTCACTTACACACTTACAGAGATGTGAGTGTCTGTACAAAGAAAGTATACTCTTAATCTGAGATGGAACCAGAGAACATTTATGCATTGGAATGTGCTTTAGAGAACACTTCATTTAAGCCATCTCATTTTTTAGGTGAGAAAACCAGGAATTAGATTAATTAGAGCATTTGTCCGACTTCATAAAATTATTAAACACTCCAGCCAGGTTTCAAACCCTTTCATCTGGCTCCCAGACAGGTTTTTCTCATGTACAGCCACTCCCTTCTCAAGGAAGTCTACATGAGTTCATTGACTAAGTGATATTAAGAACGTACTGATGCTAGATAGTCTACGCTGATGCTGTGGGGAATTCAGTATAAACATATATATAGATGCATGACTAGGTGGGTGGGTGAGTGGATGGAGGGATGGATGAATAACTTGAGCCCTGCACTCAGGAGCTGACAGTTTGGTTAGAAAGAGGGAAGAACCCGTATCGATGGGTGTGTACGAAGCCAAGTCCAGGTGCTCCAGGCACCAAGCAGATCAGACCAGACGTGCTCTGGCATTCAAGAGAAAAGGGCAGTTTTCAATAGCACTGGGCACCCTGAGGGATAGATGCAAAGGTTCCACAGGGAAGCGGGCTAAGTCCAGAACATTCCTTTGGGTGACCAATAAAAAAAAAGAGAGAGAGAAAAAGGAAACCAATAAAATGTTGCTGTTTAGAGATATTTAAAAATATTTTTTTCTTCCCTTGGTTTTCCCATCCCCACCCTCTTCAGATTTCTTTTTTCAAGTTAGGTTTACGATAGGGGTAGAAAGGCATGGGCTTAAGAGCATTTTTCCAGACATGACAACACTCTGTAATAACAGGCGATAGATAATAGAGGTAATTGTTGATCACTGTATTTAATATCATTTCTATAGAACAAGAATAAAAGACTGTAAAGTAGAAATGTGTCTACCTGGCAGTGTGGTTTACAGCACTCATGGTTAAAGAGAAGGAGAATTCATTTTGAACACTATCTGTTCATAAGGACGTTAACTGCCAGTAAAAATATATATATATATGTATATATTTTCTCACCTGAATATATTTTAATACAATATAAACCTTACTAATTAGTCTCCACTTATTTTGAATTTGTGATAATTCAACGTGCCCTGAAGTTGTTCAGTGTATGTAGAAAAGTAGATTAATGGTGTAAACAAGATTATTGGGAGAACACTTAAGAAAACAAGACTTTTCAAGTACTTTGGTAGCATTCATTTACATAAACACCCACATGTTAATTACAATTGAGTATTATCTATTCATTAAAGCAAGCTTGTTGAGTCTTTACTTGGCAAAAGTTGTGCTCGTTTTGACAGATACTTAAAAGTGATCGAAATTGCAGTTCTTTCTATATGTTCTATAGTTCTGATTTTGCACTGATTTCCTTAGGTTATTACAATGAGATGTTTGTCTCTGTTTCCTATTTTATTAGGCAGTGGAAATTGGAACATTTGTGTTACAAATCTGGAGAACTTATCACAGAAACAGGTTACATGGATCAGGTATATATTCTTTTTTTGCAAAAACTTGTCAAAAATTCCTCAGTGGTATGCCTTAGCCTAACTTGTAGCCTCTTCTTTTTAACTTTGACAGATAATCGAATATCTTTACCCTTGTTTAATTATTACACCTTTGGACTGCTTCTGGGAAGGGGCAAAGTTACAATCTGGGACAGCATACCTACTGTAAGTGTGTGATCTGGTTTTCTGGTGTCTGTGATTTTTAAACTTTAGAATGTTTCTGGTGTTACTTTATCATTGTTTCTTCTGTTTCAGTTTTGAACAAGAAATAAAAGCATTGAACTTCCGTGGGCATTTTTTGAGTGAAATTCCATGGGCATTTTTTGAGTGAATAGTTGCAGGAGAGAGGGGTTCAGCAGAATGTTTTTCCTCTTTTCAAAATAAAGTTCTGAAGGCATCATTAAATTTCATTCACTTTTACCCATCTTTTTATATGCAAATAAAATGCAAATTATATCAGAGTATGTATGTTTTTTAACTCTTTAATAAAATGTTTGCAGTTTTACAGACCAAGCACTTCCACAGATTTATTTGGGACTTGGGTGTCTCAACAGTTGAGCACCTGCCCCTCCCTAGCTCAGGGCATGATCCCAGTCCCACATCGAACTCCTTGCCTGGAGCCTGCTTCTCCCTCTCCCTCTGTCTCTGCCTTTCTCTATGTCTTTCATGAATGGATAAATAAAATCGTTAAAAAAAATTGAGTTTTTTTTTTTAAGGAGGGACAATTTATTAGTGCGTACACATCAGAGTTAAATATATTGAGTTAAAATTCAAGATCCTCCTGCAGAGTAAAATACTAAACCTTTCTTTGGATCACATTAATGACATTTAAGGGGGAAATCCACTGTCTTTGAAGGCCATGGTAGGGGATGCTTCACAGTTTAGCAGTTGGATATTATATATACCGCATCACTTAAGGAATAATTGTTAATCAATGTAGACATCTTCAGTTAATTATGCAAGAGTTCGTGCTTAGGTTATTGTTTCTGCCCTAGCTTGCACGTATCTGCAAAAGCAATTTGCAGTGGCCATACTCTGACCTTCAGTGTACAGTTTTAGATGGGAAATAAGGGGTTTTGTGTTTTCTGGTTGGGAGATTCTGAATAATGACTTCAGCCTGGTTAAGCAGCTACAGTGTGGTTTGAACTACATAACAGGCAGCCAAAAGCCTTTCTGGTCTGTCAACAGCACAAATTCAAAAGTGAGTGTGGGGGGAAGTGGCCTTGATGGTGGTGATGGCAGAGGCAGCAGGGGGCTTTTGGGGTCGACTGCCAGGCTGTCAGAAAGAGCTCATAAGTATGAGATTATTGAATGTAATGGAGATCAAATATTTTGATTGATGACATTTACAAAGCATTTATTAGGCTGGCAAGTGCTAGTTTGGCATTGTGATTCTCTCTTCTAAAACACCCTCCGCCCCTTAATTTTGGATCTCAGTCTTCTGCTTAGAAGCACTCTTTGGCTAATCTTGATTTCAGGTAAGAAAGATGACATACCAGCCAATCACAAGTCTTTGATTTCTTCATTAATTTACAAGCTCTCTGCTTGCCATTTCCATTCATGAATTATTTTCTTGACTCGGGTTTGCATATAGATCCACAGGAAAGGAGATTAGTTTTCCGTGCTGGGGTCCCAGCCTTGCAGCACTACCAAAAAGCCTCATGCGAGCCAAACATAGTATATATGATCTGTGCAGGCTCGGAGGCTTGGAAAAGCCTCTTTTCATGGTCTTACCTTCTAATTTCTTTCACAGAGGTAAGCCTCCTTTGCAGTGGACAAACTTTGACCCTTTGGAATTCCTGGAAGAGTTAAAGAAAATAAACTATCAAGTGGACAGCTGGGAGGAAATGCTGAATAAAGCTGAAGTTGGTCATGGTTACATGGACCGGCCCTGCCTCAACCCGGCTGATCCGGACTGCCCCACCACAGCCCCCAACAAAAATGCAACCAAAGTGAGTACAGTTGTTGATTCTTCTCTTGGGGACCCAGAGAAAAGCTCAGGGTCTTTCCCCCATCCCTAGTCCTCTTATTTTCATTTTTATGATTTGATTTTCATCACCCTTTTTTGTCTGTGGAGCTACGTTTGTTTATAGAGCTAAATTTTGCTGTAAGATTTGCCATACGCCTCTCATTAGCCTTGTTATTAATGTTCTCTCTGAAACAAACAAGCCCTTAATGCACTGGATTTTAACAAGGCATGTGACCTGCCTACTAATTCCCATAATTATGTGGATGTCTTTTTATTTTAGCCTCTTGATGTGGCCCTTGTTTTGAATGGTGGATGTCATGGATTATCCAGAAAGTACATGCACTGGCAGGAGGAACTGATTGTGGGTGGCACAGTCAAGAACAGCACCGGGAAGCTTGTCAGGTAATCCTGCACATGGAAGAGAAATCCAAGCCATCTATTTTTTGTCCTTTCCTGGGAAACTACTTCCCTTCTGACATCTGCAAGTGTATTTGTACTACTACTTAGCTGTTATCCTAGCTAGCCATCTGCTGTAATAGAATATTAGGAAACATTAGTGGACCAGACCAGCTCGAAAAAAAAAACCACCTTTCGGGGGATATTTTAAGAGGAGATGTGTTGTTTTCATCGAAACCATAGTTAGTAACTGTAGGTTTTTGGAAGTTCTCTTATATAGGAAGTCAAGGCAGGTGTAATACAGGCAGGTCACAGTGGTCACAGCAAGTAGAGTGGCGTGGTATGAGCTAAGCTCTGTCACAGACTGACCAACAGCTGACGGCTAAACAAGAATTACCCTCTGTGCTCTTGCGGATTCTGCTCCATCAAGCGCCAGGCCCTCTGTCTGACATTCCTCCCTGGGGAGAGCCGTCGTCTGGGATTTTTGCATAGGCGAGCGTTCAGTGCCGAGCCCAGCATCTCTGCTCAAGCTATCTATTCCCCTATCCTTCCTGTTTCACGGAATAGGAACTGGGAAAGGAAATTGCTTATTAATTTAATTTTGGGGTATATCTGTAAAAGGTTTGTAAGGTTACACCTTTAATATGGTACATCAATCTATTAAATAAAATAACCATCCTGGTCCTGTTTAATGGAAACATGTGCTCATGTGGAAGGCGAGTTGGGGGCGCCTGTCTGGGGTTTTCAGCAGCAAGAAAACTTTCTGGAAACACTGATGTCGTGTGTTTGCCACCCTGTCACAGCGCCCACGCTCTGCAAACCATGTTTCAGTTAATGACTCCCAAGCAAATGTACGAACACTTCAAGGGGTATGAGTATGTCTCACACATTAACTGGAATGAGGACAAGGCAGCAGCCATCCTGGAGGCTTGGCAGAGGACATATGTGGAGGTAAATCTTTGGCATTCCTATGCCCCCCTTTGAATCTGGGTATAAACCCCAGACATACTTCATTTTTGCAATGTTTTAAGACTTTTTTTTTTCCCGTTAGAATATCTTTTCAAAACCTAATTGTCCTTTTTGGGAACCTGGTGGGATGAAAAAGTTTATTCCCTCCCTCAATATTAAAAACCTTAATGTCTGGGTGATGGCTAATTCTAATTGGGATGCCTGAGACATTTGGAGTAAACAGTCGTGAGGTCCAGAGCTAAGGCATAATAGTGTTTAAAAAACACTTGGTGAGCAAGAAAAGGTGTCTGGAAAACATTAGCAAAGCATAGAATCTGTTCACAGCTGCAGTTCCCTTGGTTAGGTCATGTGACAGGAGCTGGCCTTTGTTGCCCAAGCAGTGACCTCTACTGAGCTGCATGTGACCTTTTAAAAGTGGCCAGCAAATGAAGGGGGGAGGAGTGGCCATAAGAATGAGTTGTTTGGGATTAGTGGGACCACAGACATATTGCAGAGCGATGGGGAGAAGAACAGGCCAAGGTGCAGGGCGCCCGAAGGCGCCATAACTCCAGCCCCCCGCAGTACCGCGTTCTTACCTGAACACTGTGGCTTCCATCATCCCGGGCCCAGGGTCGTTTCACCTCGGTCCATGCCCAAACCTGAAGCACGTAGAATTCTCTTTAGTATATTTGAAACAAGTGAGGGTTGAGTGGAGGGGACATGTCCCCCAAGCTCTGTTATTGAAGCTCATTGAAACACTAATTCCATTTGGGACCTGATGTGACCACAGGTGGTTCATCAAAGTGTCGCTCCAAACTCCACTCAGAAAGTGCTTTCCTTCACCACCACAACCCTGGATGACATCCTGAAGTCCTTCTCTGATGTCAGCGTCATCCGAGTGGCTAGTGGATACCTCCTGATGGTAACAGTCGAGTCACTTCTCCCAGGGATGGGGGGGGGGGCGGGGGCCAGCCATAGTTGGATTGGTTTTGAGTTTTTGTCTTTCCATGACCGCTCTTGCTTTTTAACTGCTCTTAACACACACGTGCGTACAAGACACAGAGAGCTCGGCTTCATAACGATTTCAAAAGTGGTCGTGTAAAGCATTTTCTCCCATTTGCAGTTCACCCATCTTTGACTTGTATCATTTCATGTGATGTCTGTAAGGTACATTGTTGTTGTGGTTGGATTTAGTAAGTTCTACCTTTTGATATGGGGTGATGGGTGGGGGAAAACATTAGAATCCTTACCCATTCTAATGTTTGGCTTTTGTTTTGTGTCTCCCCTCGTTCCTTCCCCTGCCCCCACCCCATTGTTCTGCTCGCAGCTTGCCTATGCCTGTTTAACCATGCTGCGCTGGGATTGCTCCAAGTCCCAGGGTGCCGTGGGGCTGGCTGGCGTCCTGTTGGTTGCACTGTCAGTGGCTGCAGGATTGGGCCTGTGCTCATTGATCGGGATTTCCTTTAACGCTGCAACAACTCAGGTATTAAAGGAGCCATCCATCCATTGTGTGTTGACAAATGCCCCTCCCCAGATGTGGCCCAGCAACCTTCTCTGTGTCTGTGTCACCTAAAGGGTCTTCTGGCCTTGACCACCAGGATGCCACACTTCAAGGGGGGAGGTGCTGTCTCAAAAATGGAGCACTTGGCTGTGGGTGGAAGGTCTGCATGGGCTTGTGGATGGTAGAGATGCTTCACTTATCAGTGCATTGATCAGAGCTACGATTCTCAAACTTGAGTGGCCTGAAGGGCTTGTAACCCCTCTGACAGCTGGGCCCCATCCCCAGAGCTCCTAATGACCAGTTCTCAGCAATACCCTCCAGGGATCACACTCTGAGAACCACTGCTTTTGCAGAGTTAGCTTCCTTCTCATTTATTAGCTTTAAAAAAAATAGTGGAGCTTAAAAATAGAAATGTCCAAGACTTCATGTGAGCTTAAATGGCTAGATGCAGGGAACTTTATTTGGGGGGGGGGATTTTAATGCTCAGAAGTAGATTGTTCCCATGAGCTGGTATGAGTTGTCCTTGGGGTAGCTGCTGGGGGCAATGTTCTCAGTGGCTCTGGAATGATCACAAATTAGACTTCACGTGTCTAATGTACTGCCCTCTGTGTTCGTTGCAGGTTTTGCCATTTCTCGCTCTTGGTGTTGGTGTGGATGATGTTTTCCTTCTGGCACATGCATTTAGTGAAACAGGACAGAATAAAAGAATCCCTTTTGAGGTAATAGAAAAACAAAAGAAGACAGCCTTGGGGACAGCCCCAGTCCCCTCCGTTCTTGAGTGTTCTTAATTTTCCTTAATCTGGCCCAATAAATATTTCAGTCTCAAGTCAGTGATGACATGTTGCTGGCTGTAAATAAGTAAAAGAAATTAGAAGAATCTCAGAACACTTATTCCAAAGCCCATATTTGCTTTTCTAGTTTTTTTTGTGGGTTTCTTTTTGTCACTTGGTCCTGATCCCCCCCACCCCCGACACACACACACACACACACACACACACACACCTTTTAAATCTTAAAAATTTATTTAAATCTTTATCTTGCAGCTCTGTGTTTCGGATGTGGTAGCCAGGAACGACACCTATGTCGATAGTAGTACTAAAAACTTTTTGATGCCAGTGTTAGGGGGTTGGAGAGATAGCCCTTTCCTATACCCTGATGTCAGCGTGATAACCTGTCTGTTGTCTCACTTGGTCATGTATTTGAACTGTTGACATGATCTGAGATCTGAGGGGACCCTGCGCCATGCAGTTCTCAGCACGGTGGTTTCTCGTTCTCAGGATAGGACTGGGGAGTGCCTGAAGCGCACAGGAGCCAGCGTGGCGCTCACTTCCATCAGCAATGTCACAGCCTTCTTCATGGCTGCTCTGATCCCTATTCCTGCTCTGCGAGCCTTCTCCCTTCAGGTGAGTTTGCAGGGATGAAACATGTGGTGTGCACTGCCCTGACGCCAGCATCCTGTCCCATTCTCCACTAACATGCTGACGGCACTCCTGCCGGGAAGTGAAGTACCATGTCTGCATCCGGGGCTCTTCCGGTGGAAGCTTCTTTAAGCAATTACCCTGACCCTCCCTCTAAAATACATCCCAGGTCTCTTCCCCTCCTCCCAGTACTATAGCCCAGATGCCTGGGGTCCAGGTATCCTCAAGACCTGGTGCCTTAGGGAGTGGCCCTTTCCTTTAGAGTTAGACTAGAACGACCCTAAGCCTACTCCATGTAGGATGCTGAGAAGCCCCTCTTCCAGATAGCCAGAAGTCCTCTAGTTTGATCCACGGTATGGCCAGCTCTTGGCCAGCCCTGCTTCTAAATCCCCACTGTCACGCCCCTTCCCTGCCGGCCACCTCAGCCCCAATATGCCACCCTCTCTCTCTGTTTCCCTAAAGCAGCCCCAACAGGCAGTTGTACAGAGCAGACTTCACTGACCAAGAACAGGTTGCAGTATAGACCAGGCTAGATGGTAACTGAGTAATTGGTAATTGAGTATGGTGGACCCTTGAACAACATGGGGTTTAGGCGTGCTGACCCCCCCTCCCATAAGTCAGATCTTCATATAACTTCTGACTCCCCCAAAACTTAACTTCTAATAGCAGCTGTTGACTGGAAGCCTTTCTGATAACATGATCAATTAACACGTATTTTCTAGGTTACATGTGTTATAAACTGTATTCTTATAAAAAAGTCATCTAGAGAACAAAATGTTATTAAGAAAATCATAAGAGAGAATACAGTTCGAGTGCTGTACTGTATTTACTGGAAACAGCCCACCTATAGGTGGGCCCATGCCTCCCACACACCTTGTTGTTCAATGGTCTGAACCACAGGCTGAGCTTCCACTGTGCAGACGGGTTGGCCATCCTCCACCTGCAGGGGGCTCATTGGCGGACCCTCGCTTGCCACCTCTTTCCTTAGTTGCTCCAGTGTCTTCCAGCCCCTCTCTCTTCTTTTGGCCTCCTCCTCCCCTCTTAGGCTACACAAGAAAACTCAATATTCCTCTGCCTTTCTTCTCCAGAGCAGTTTGCCTCCTGCACTGTTCTGCTCTTTCTTCCCAAACCAGGCCCTTCCCACACCTCGAGGCCACCAAGATTTTTGTGATGTTGTTGTGGTGCACAAAAAGCCAGCTTATATGAATGGTGAGGATGGAGAGCTCGCCAGGCTGGAGACCTGGCTCTGGTCCATTCTGTGCTCAGCCCAGAGCACGGACACTGCTCCTCAGCTGCTTGAAACGCAAAGGAATCCTGAAATCGATCAGGACAGCAGATGAGGAGAGTGAACTGACCACTTCGGGATATGGTCTTCTAAGCCCAAAATGGTTTCAGGTTTCGATATGTCAAAGATGTTATTGAAGTTCTGTGAATTAAACTCAAATTTTAAAGCTTCAAGTATTTTCTAAGAGAGGAGTGGTGCTTCCCTTTGTTCCTTTTTTTCCTTACATAATATTATAATGAGATGGCCAGGTTTTTTAAGGAAACCACCTTTTTTTTTTTTTTTTTTTTTTTGAGATGGACTGGGGCGGGGGAGAGAGAGAAAATGAATGAATCTTAAGCAGGCTCCACACCCAGCACGGAGCTTGATCTCCCCGCCCTGACATCATCACCTGAACTAAAATCAAGAGTTGGGGTCGCTTATCCAACTGAGCCACCCATGTACCCCTTGGTGTCACTTTTTAAGATGTTACTACATCAAACTTCTTCCTGCTGCTATACTCTTGGTAATCCCCAAAAGGTTCCTGATTGAGTTCAGGAAGAGAAACTGACAAATCATAAACCAGGTTTCTCTTTATACTTTCATCAACACTTTTGTAGTCTTCGTATTTGAATCATTTCGCCAATGGGTGATGAAGACCTGAGCGATTAATGATCTACTGTTTGGGACACTAGACTTACTTTATATTTAGTGTAAGATAGAACATGGAAAAAGATTTTTGTACAATCACTGTGACCACCACTCCCCAAAAGAAAAATACTAAAAAAAAAAAAGAAAGAAAGAAAATGAGTTCATTATAAATATCTAAAAATAAAAGTAGTAAGTGAAAAGTGAATTAATAAAGTTAAATCTGAATGACTGAAGCTCAAGAAAATGAAAATATATCTTTAACTGCTTCACTGATCAGTCATGTGAAAGGTGCCTGTGAAAGTATTGGTGCAGTTACAGTTCTAGAATGCCTTTGTGCACGGGCATCTGCACACCCACCTGCGGTCTCCAGGTCTCACCGCATTTACACACAGTAGGCTCTGGTATTGAGAAATTGTCCTACCCTGTTAGCAGTTGGATGCTCTCCCACCTCTCCTTTCCTGCCTGCCTTTTCCTTGCTGCTCTTTATCTCTGCTTTGCCACACACTCCTTCATTTCTTCTTGTGTGTCTCATTTTCTCCTCTCCTCTCTCAGTACACACTGATGATTCATGAAGGCATAATCTCCTTTAATGATATCCTATGGTGTGGTGGTCTGAAAAGCTACATGAGTTTTCTTACGCCTTTTAGAAAATCCAGTAACGCTAAAGTTCTCCCAAGGTAAGTACCTTACCTAGTCGAAATGGGTACTGTGAATTTTGCATTTCTATTCCAGGCCACTAGGGTATCATGTTAGAAAATTGAGGACTTCCAGGGGTCCTCATTTATTAAAGACTGGCTTCCCGTAACATTGGCTCATTCTCTGTCAAAAAACAAAATAACAAACCAAGGAAAAGGAAAGGAAATAAAACGTAAGGAGAAAACAGAACATGCCACGATTTTTGCAGTAACCATCAGAAATGTATGCTGCTTTCCTTTTAAATATATTGATATTCAGAGTTGACCATGATGTAGCTCTCTTTCTTTTAGTGAACTGTGTTAAGCTGTCCCTCTGGGTATTCATTCATATTAGTGTTTGCAGTATACTATAGATTAAACTTTGAAAGAGAGAGACCCACAGTGGTTCTGTCCAGTGATAAATCCATAATAATTTAGGATTTTTCTTTGTGGAACTTTTCCATCGTCTAACATTACCAAAATAAATAGAAACTTTTTCCCCCCAAAGAAAGTGTCTTAGCCTTCCTTGTCAATCTCCATCCAAATGCCACCTCTATCAGTCAGAAAGCAGTGGCACCATCTAATTCTTTGGGAGCCAATGCCCTGAGCTGGGACTTTGCTGGTAACTGAATGCTATTTGTTCTTCAATGAAAACCCCCAGAACAGAACACCTTATTGTTCCAAACAGTAAGGGGATTTAGATGAGGGCTCTGCTACGCAGGGTCACTTTGTCTCTTGAGCTCTACAAGTGTCTCAGCAGGGCCACCAGGGATGCTCCCCCAGGGGTGAGGTAGAGCACAGGGCATGGGGACTTCTCCTTTAAGCACAGTAATTGGAATTGATTGACAGTGCAAATCATCCCCATCATCTTTTCAGATTTTTGTAGAATGTCTTAAACCCCCTTTTGCTCTAGTGATGCTTGTCCCTTGCTGAGAAGTCCTCGCTTCTTGTTGGTTTTTATTTACTCTTTTGGTGCACTTGAGTGGGACGTGGAGGTTGGGCCATTTTCCTGTCAGAATGTGTTCTCCCTTTGCATATAATACACCATTTGATGGTAAGCATGAATGGGATGCTGCATTTCAGGGTTTTGGGGGTTCTTCATGTCCTCCATGGATTCCTCCGGTGGATAAACCTGATCTCAGGTGCGTTCCCCAGCCACTGTGGAAGCACCAGTGCTGTTCATGCCAGAGCACCTGGGCCACTTACGTTCCTCGTCCTCAGGAACTTTTGTCCAGAGTAAGATGCTTGGCAGTGTTCTGTCTGCATTCTACCCCTGAATTCTAAACATGCTCATAATAGAAAATGAAAGGATTCCATCTCCAGGACTGAATTTTCCTGAAAAATCTCCTTGAGTCTCAAACTCATCCTTCCCAGCACCCCTGTGGACAGATTGGTCAGAAGCCCAAACCCAGCCATGTTCGTCCCCTCAGGAGGTGACCAGGAGACAAGAACCCGCAGGTCTCAGGCTGAGGGCTTTGATATCAAGCTCATGTTTAAATTCGGTTTACTTAGTAACCCCTGCCAGGTGACCATCCTCTGCACTACGGAGTCTCTGTTAGTGTCAAGAGCAGTAATGATGACTATCATTGGTTGCTGGGGGATCGAATGAGTCCTGTATTCGTAACTACCTAGAGACCCCCTTTCTCCTTTCTCTTCCCCCAACAGAATTATAGGTCTCCCTCTCAGACACAGCTTGTCGAGTTCCTCCATGTGGCACATCCCTCCTCCCTGGCCCCACCAGAGTCCTGTTCTTTTCTCCCTGAGAACCTACCTTGATCACCCTCTGCCCTCCCCCCAACCTCCACCTGGGTACTCTAACCCCGTCTGAGCTGCCCTGGAACCCTCTGCAACCTTTTATTACTATATCTGTTAGCCTGAACCGTAACTTTGTTTATAGGCTGAATGCGTCAGTCCTTGAGAAAAGGATTTTGTCGTCTCTCTCTCTCTCTCTCTCTCTGTGTCTCCCATACCCAGCTCAGTGTCCTCCTTTTTGTCTTTGTTTCTTAGTATTTGTCTCTTAGATGAATCTTCTAGTCAATATAGTGATTTTCTTATTAAAATAGGCCAATCAGGCAGGTCTTTAAAGGACCTTCCATGCATGAGAGTAGTTAAGTTCACGGGTTCCATATATTTCGAGTTGATGAGGAATTTCCAAGCAGACTAAGAAGAAAGGGGTTAGGTGATTTTTAGGAGACTCTAGATTCTTTTTTGGCTTTGTAGACTTGACCTTGAATTAATTATCGAAAGGTACCTTACCAGACCTTGGGCTTGCTCTTTCACTATAAGCATAAATTCACAATTACTATCAAAACCTCTTTGCAAAGTTCTCCTCTGATTGTCAGATATCCTTTATAAGCAGGTTTTCTCTTCTTACCTGGAGACATTTACCCAATTGGAGGACATTTTAGAACTAGGTAGTTCTTTGGAATACTATCTGAGAGTTTTTAATTTTCAAAAAAATTTCTGATGATTTCTTGGTTACTTAGCATTCCAGTTGCATTTTTTTTTTTTTTTGTGCTGCTTCCTTCCATTCCTGTCTGAATTGGAGAGCCTTTCAACTGTCCTCTGTTGACTTTCCCCCATTAACAGCCTAATTGTGTAATTTTTACTAGGTCGGCAGGAGATTTGCCAAAGCACTACAGAATCTAGCCCCGTGTTTATTCTAGGTTATGGAGTGACTTTTGAATCCGTACTTATTTATTCTGCATACTATAATCACACACAGGAATTTCTTTCTGCCTTATTCTCCTTGACCTTTTCTGTTACTGTGCTTGCACACCCCACAGGCTACTCTGGAGACTATTTGGAATGTGCCTATTAAAGACCTCAGGGGATGTGTTTGAAATTTTATTTCATGTTTTAAAGGTGACATTTTGATATACCCAATCCACTTTATGTATAAATATTCTGAGCATAAAATCAGAGTTGCATGAAACTCTTAGAAATGTTCTGAAAGGGGAATGTTTGTTTTCAATTAAAACGTCTCAAGTATATTCTGTATTCTGCCTTTGTAGATTTGGTTTGGTTAAGTTGCTCGCAAGACGTTCATTTCGTTCCCGTGTTTGTTCATCACAGGTTCGTGAAATTCTAGGAGATGGAAAGGATCAGAGAATGATGGGGCCTGTTTTAGTCAACTGGTCCCTTAATGGTGGCAGAGAAGCAAAAATGATGAGAAACTCCAACATCTATTTCAAGCTTAAATACTTGAGAAGGGAATTAAAAGAAATATGGTGTTTAAAACATCTTTATTTTCAGAGGAGTCCTCTGACTGGGAGGAGATATATTGGTGACCTCTGCTTTTTTTTTCCTGCTTCTAGGCGGCTGTAGTAGTGGTATTCAATTTTGCTATGGTTCTGCTCATTTTTCCTGCAATTCTCAGCATGGATTTGTATCGACGTGAGGACAGGAGACTGGATATTTTCTGCTGTTTTACAAGGTACAATTTCATGAGCTGCTGCGGCCTTTATATGTTGGGTACAGAGTGGTAGGGTTAAGAGAACTCTTTAGTCTGTGGACTTGGAAGAAAATGTAGTTAACAGGGCTTGTACCAGTGTGATGGAGGCATAAGAGATAGTGGACAGAGGATGCCTTGTTGGGAATATTGAATCATTGAAGCTCCTCTCCCTGATTAGAGGCTCACAGCTCTGGGGTTGTGATGCATGTGCTCATATTTCTGTTGTGGATTAATTTTGCTGATGATTGAGAGTGTGTCTTATCTGTATGGATTCAGGCAAACAAAGGTTTGAAAACCAACCGTCCAGAAAAATATAGCCCTTTGGGTGTCATGGGTTTTTTTGGGAGGGAATCGTGTGTTTTTAGGAATTGTGCTTTGAAGGGGTTCATCAGCATGTAACCTGATTTTGCCAGCCAAATGCATGATCAACTATCCATTTGGCCTCCTTTGACTTAATATTATCTGTGTCCAGATGGTTAAATTAGGTGATGTTTGTGAAGTTCAACAGTATATTTTCTTCTAAATGAGAGCTATGTAAAATGGATGTCAGTCATTGGCAAAAATGAAAGCACGTTTCTCTGTTTCAATATACCATTGCGACATATTTTCCCCTCTCAGCCCCTGCGTCAGCAGAGTGATTCAGGTTGAACCTCAGGCCTACACGGAGACTCATGATAACACTCGCTACAGTCCCCCGCCCCCCTACAGCAGCCACAGCTTCACCCACGAAACCCAGATCACCATGCAGTCCACAGTACAGCTCCGCACAGAGTATGACCCCCACACGCACGTGTACTACACCACCGCCGAGCCACGCTCTGAGATCTCCGTGCAGCCCGTCACCATGACCCAGGATACCCTCAGCTGCCAGAGCCCTGAGAGCACCAGCTCCACGAGGGACCTGCTCTCCCAGTTCTCTGACTCCAGCCTCCACTGCCTTGAGCCCCCCTGCACCAAGTGGACACTTTCATCTTTTGCCGAGAAACACTATGCTCCTTTCCTCTTGAAACCAAAAGCCAAGGTAATCTACCAAAACAGAAGACTCTTCCCGTCTTCAAGAAATAACAAAACTGTCTCTTTTGGAATTCATCAGGTTGCTTCTTTGGGTGTGACTTATTTCAGGCCCTCTAAAAAGTCAGTCCATTTAGCATGTGGGGCCATTTTAATGAGCTCATCTTCTATGGGAGTGAATCTCTACCATAGCAAATGTTTCTGTGAATTTAGATCAACTCCTTAAATTTTAAACATTTTATTCTTCATGAGCTTGTTTAAAATAAGATTACTCTGATTACCTGTTTTTCCCTCTGGGAGGATGACCCCTACATGCTTCATCAGGGCCATTGTGGGGGTAAAAGTGAGGTCTGGACCAGACAGCTTGCCTCTGTCAGGGGAGAGTTGGTCCTGTCCTCTGGCTCTAATCTTGTGCCTCTTACTGTGTTACAGGTCGTGGTCATCTTCCTTTTCCTGGGCTTGCTGGGGGTCAGCCTTTATGGGACCACCCGAGTGCGCGATGGGCTGGACCTTACAGACATTGTGCCCCGGGAAACCAGAGAATATGATTTTATTGCTGCACAGTTCAAATACTTCTCTTTCTACAACATGTATATAGTCACCCAGAAAGCAGACTACCCAAATATCCAGCACTTACTTTACGACCTTCACAAGAGTTTCAGCAATGTGAAGTATGTCATGTTGGAAGAAAATAAACAGCTTCCCAAAATGTGGCTGCATTACTTCCGAGACTGGTTACAAGGTGAGAGATACTGCGAGGGGGCGTTCGCCCTTTGTAAACATTCCCCATTTGGTCTTTGGTACATTCAGCTTCCACAAGTTCCCTTTGTTCACTTTATTAAAGTATTAGATTATAACATAACACTGACATGTTTCATTGACTTCTGAGTGTTGCTTAAAATTCTTATATAGACTTTTTTTGGGGGCAGCCTCCCAAATCTGGCTTTTACCTATAAAATGATGCAAACAATTCCAGTGGAGGACTCATTGGAACTTCTGTAAGAATTTATGGATGCACATTAGGAAATGGAAACATATGTTATAAAATAAGGACCTGGTTGCTTCTAGGGCTCTTTTTTTGGATGGTGGTTAGTTTGATGATCAAAAGTGTCAATGGAAATTTCTAGACTGACTTATTGACGAACTTTGGCATACTGCACCGGTAGATTTTTGCATCATTGGTGAATATGATGTACAATTCCATATTTTGACCATCTCTTGGTTCAGCATATGAAATAAAGTTATCAGTGCTTAATCACATCTCACAGTATTTCATAAATAACCAAATTCTGCTTTTAAGATGCCTTTCTTAGCATGTTATCTTGTCCTTAGAAACACGTCTGGGAAATAGTAGTCAATTGGAGAAAAAAAAATGGCTTAAATTTGCTTCTAACTGCTGACTGATATGAATGTATTCAGTGATTCCAAGAACATCTGTTCATTTATTCCATGTTGACACATGCAAAGTGAAGTGGGGAATCAAGATAATTATGCACACAATTCAGGCAAAAATGCTTTTACTGAAATACCCAAATAATTATGGCCCCCAACATTTTTTTGGCTTAAGTTATCCAAATGATTATCTTAATTTCCCACTTAATTAGGCTTGTTTAAACACAGATTTGAGTGCCTTTTTTGGTCTTAAGTCAATACACTTGTATGTAAAGATTAAGCAGCCAATTTCCCTGTGAGTTTGCATAAAATGGTAAACTGCATGAGTTTGACTGAAAATCCTTCAGTTCAGTTTCTGGCCTTGACTTCTGTTCCTAGAATTTTGTTCATACATGTACACCAGATTTGACCTCTTTTTTTGAGGAAGGGAAAGAGAACTAACTACATGACATTAATAGTATTTTTTTAACATGCTCATGAGATTAACATGAATTAGTTCTAAGTCTTATTTTTTACAGTAGTTTGGGAGGCTGTGTTTTCCAGATAATGAGTCAAAACAGGACCAGACAGTTGAGAGATTCCCTGCTTTTCATTTTTTCCCCCATTGGCCAAAGATATGCAAATAGCTTGCCACAAATGACAAAGAGATCGCCAGTGCTGCCTGTATCTGAGCAAAGGAGGGTTATTGTAGAATTGATTTCAGTCTTAGGCCATTCCTTTGGACGCTCAATATAGCATGTTAGGCGGATCTTGGGAAGAGGGCAGAGGGTATTGTCTCCAGGCAGTGGCGAGGGCTAACCTTTTTATAGCGCATTGTAAATTATCCCTATGCTTTCATTCCTTTAAAGACCTAAAGCAGTTGGACTTGAGAATCACACTTTTTTGAAGGTGCAATTGAATCATGTTGTTTTGATTGCTAAGTGAACAGCACCCACCTCGACCAAGTGAGACCCATTCATGCTCCCAAGTCGAGGTCCCAGCCAGCTCTAGAACTCTGCGTTTGACTCTCAGGAGGTCCAGCAGAGAGCACTGGACACAGAATGGCCAGATAATGGGACCGCCAGGCTGCCTACACAGTTTTCAGGCCTGTCAAGTGGCTAATGGGGTCTTTGAACACTTCCTGCAAGGAGTCAGCTGTCCTTGAATTGTTCAGAACATTTTGTGTGGTCGTTAAGTGTTGGGACCCTCATTGGTTTTCAGTGGAATTGTCACTAAAAACCATGTTGTGCTATTCCTCTTTATCAACATTCCACTAGTTTGCGGGGGCGGGGGGATGCTAACTCATAAAAATACATAATGGCAATATCATGTGTCATCTTTAAACACACATGCAAGTAAGGCGAAGTTGCAGGTAACAACTGCACTGTGCATCATGTACAAATGGTGTTCGTTTGTATTCCGCTCTGCGTTATGCAGATAAAATTTAAATTAATGTTCTCTTTAGGGGCTCATTATCAAAGAGAAACTGACAATTGATATTTCCCTAGAAAATAGTATCTAGTATAAAATTTAAAATGAGATAAGTTTTAGTTAACACTTTCACGTTTTGCTGTCAAATAGGTAAAATGTCACCGATCTTGTCTACAGTGTACACGTGTTAGAGTATAAAACACTGGCCAAGGGGCAGTGGAAGCAAATCTGCATCCCTCATTTTGTGCACAGAAATCCTATGTTGTACACATACTCTCAGGGCAATTCTTTGCTATTTGAGCTTTTTTGGTAATTAGAAAATAAAATAATCTAAGAATAAAAACTTAACTTTTTCACGAGGTCAACTATTTCTTGTTCATGTTTGTATTCTGAGTGCAGTGAGTGGCACGGGAAGGCTAGCAGCATGGATGAGGGGGTGAACAGAGTTGCCTGCAGGGTGGACCCCCTCAAATCCAATCTTTCTTTCTTTGGTTCACTCAGGGTGTCCCCCAACTCTTAGTGCATAAAAATCTTAAAACCACACTCACTTTTTTGGAACACTCTATTTGCCACTAGATGTCAGAGGTGCCCCTGGTACCTCTGCTGATCTTATTTGTGCCTTCAGCAAATAACTTCCTGAGCTCCTCTGTGTGTCCAGGGCTATTTGGAGCAGCCATGTTTCCAGCTGAACCTGGAACCCAGCTGCCTGGATCCAAAGCTTAGCTCCATCCAGCCCTGGTCTCCTGGGTGGCTTTGGTTAAGTTGCTTTCCATGCCTCAGTTTTCTCATCTGTAAAGTGGGAACCATGGTGCTAGCAGGGCTATCTCATGAGGTGGTTCTAAGAAGTACATGACTGGTGATCATTGTGAAATGCTGAGACAGCCCAGTGCTCCCTGACACCAGTGGCTCCTTAGGATTGACGGGTCAAGAGGGAAAGGGTTAAAGTACCATACAGGCCATGAAGTGATGAAAATTCTATTAAGGTGAGGAAAACAGACCAGGTCTCTTTTGGAGTGGTAGGGGGTGGGGAGGAGGGTTTGTTTTCCCTCCCCTGTTTATTTATTTATTTTTTTCAAAAACAAAAGGCTTTTGGTAATAAAATAACATCTGTTCAGTACGGCTTGTTGTGTGCATGCCTCACTATGAAAAACAGTCTGTGTGAGAGTTAGGAGCCTGGCCGTCCTGGTGGTCCCTCCCACCCACCGCTCCCACCGCTCCTTCACACTCGCCCCTAAACATAGCCTTCTTTCACCACCCAGCCTAGGGCCTCATCCCCACATTGTTCGTGTAAAAACAATGCCCACAGCGATGTCGGCAGGAAGGCTTGAGAAGAGAGAGAGACAGAGACAGGGTCCTGTGCTCCCCCTCTGCCCCTACGTCAAACCCCAAGAGCTTCATTATTTTGAACACTGAGGAGACCAGTACTGGGGCACGGTGGGGGGGGGGGTGTCTTTGAATTCACTCAAGGCCTGTCATGAGATGAAATGAACTCTCTTCCCTTCTTACTGGCCATGTCTAACGCCTGCATACACAGCTTGTTCAATAGATGTGGTTTCCTGAGCTCCTGGGGGCCTGGAGTTCTACTTGGGAGGGGATTTGGAGGGGAGCAGGACAGTGGAAAGGAGGCAGGGGTGTCGGGGGAGAGTGTGTGTATGCGGGATCACTCAGCCCCTAAGACCGGGTCACCAGGGCCCTGTTTTCTCTTCCAGCACGCTTATCTCTTTACAGCTGTAGCCAAACCATCAGGTCTGTAATGATGGTTTTGATTACAGAGGCCAAGCACAGCTGTGTGTGGTGGGCTGGTGGGCTCGCCCATCCCCCACACCCAGAGAGCCCTTTCCTTCCCCTCCCTGTGCTTGCGGTTTGTCATCTGTTCTCACAGAGCCCCCTTGTATTGGCCTGTGGCTTCCTGTTTCAATCTGATCCAAATTTACCCCGTGAGGCATTTCCCTGCACACACGGACGCTCACGAGGTCCCTCCGCCCCCGCCCTGCCTTGTGAGGAAGGGTGGCAAAGAGGAACAGTCGAGAGTGAATAGGTGTTGGCTGTGATCTTTACACAACCTGGCAGCCGATCCCACAGCTTGTATTAGCTCCACAAGTTGAACAGATGGAACAAATTGACAGAATCGTGTTCACTCACCCTGGGCTGGAGAAGCAGCTGAGTTACTGTTTGAAGTTGGGAATTTGAAAGCCTTCTCCGCACTCTGAGTGGGATTTCTGGTTGGATTGAAGAATCCCAGGCTCTAGCACCCAACAGTGGCCTGAGATGGCTAATGAGCCTATGTGTCCCCTCACCCGGCCAGCCAGCTTTCCCAGGAGCACTGTCTTCCTCTCCTCAGAATAGTCATTGAGGGAGAAGAAACGGTTTCTCTTTTATGTAAAAGTAAAACATGTAAATTTGCTTCCTAGAAACAAGAATTCCCCTTTTCCGCCTTTGAAGCAGTGATTATCAGCAACCTGACACTCATTCATGAAAAATTGAATAGTGTCACTTGAATCTGAAATAGAAAACAAGTGTAATATAGAGTGTTTGAGGTTGATGTCAAGTACTTCCTTCTGCTGGGTGTCCTCAGCCCACCACATCAGGGCCTAGATCATTCCGGTTAAGAATCATAATATGTCATATACATTTGCCTTTTCTAGGACTTCAGGACGCATTTGACAGTGACTGGGAAACTGGGAAAATCATGCCAAACAATTACAAAAATGGATCAGATGATGGGGTCCTTGCCTACAAACTCCTGGTGCAGACCGGCAGCCGCGATAAACCCATCGACATCAGTCAGGTACTGTGGCTGCCCTACACCCTGGGCGTTGCGGAGGGCATCGCTGAGCAGATCTTGGGGCAGCTGCCATCCCAGCCTGTGACCTCTGGAGACCCGAGGCATCGGGCTGATAGAATGTCGAGTTGGCTCTACTTCACTTCATCCTGTCAGCTGGTTGTGTGACTGCAGGCAAGCCTGTGCCTCAGTCTGCTCGTCTGTCAAGTGGGGACGTGTGTTACTGCCTGCCTCCACAGCCGTTGTTCCCACCAGGAACTCTCCAGGCAGTGCAGGCTCTTTCAGATACGAGACATGCTGTATTGTGCCATTCTCTTTTGAATTCTAGTGCTTGTTACCAGGTTGATCTGGGTTATATTCACACTTAAAAGGATGGTAGCAGTCATTTGAATGAGCAGAATTTGAGGTGGATGGATGAGTTAGGAAGTCAGAGAGGTTACTAGAAGGATGGGAGGATTGATTGCATTCGTTTCCTCCGGGTCACTCTGGCCCAGCAGGTGGAGAAGGGGGACAGACAGATGGCTCTGTCATGAGTGAAACAAACAGAATTGCCAGTCCCCGAAACCTGAGAGCGCTCGCCGTTCTGCTCACTTCCCCGGGTAATAAGAGCGGTTTCTAGTTGGTAATCATATTCTCCAACTGCATTTGCATCTTCTCTGTGATGCTCGGATTCCAGCATATTCCCTTTTGATTCTTCAGGCAAGTTGGGAGTGTGTTGGGACCCTTCAGATTTCAAATGAGTCCAGCACTACTGCCGGCTCTCCCAGATCCCATTCCCTCTGCTCCTTGTAGCTTGCTTGCTTCCCCCTCAGGCAGAAAACCGTCATGCTAATGATCTTCCCAGCAGCTCTGTTTATTGTCTCCCCTTTTTTGCTGGCATTAAAGGTGACAGATTTACAAAGTACATTGTTCAGAGTTATTATGGAGTGTGAACTTGGTGCTTTATGGCCGCATGCGGCACACTGTCAGGTTTGACAAGGATGTGGGCAGAAGAGCCTGTGGGAGAGATAGCAGGGGGATGCCCGGGGGCTGCGCCAGACCTTAGGGACCAGGGACAATTGTGGAGCAAATGTGATTGGGCCAGGCCCCCAGATATCACTTCCTCTGCCTGGGAGGGAGAAAAGCATGCTGCGTGCACGGAGGCCATGAGCCGTGCTATGTAATTCCAGAGACGGCTTGAAGACATGCAGTTGTTACATATCCTGGGGATTAATTGAATCCAGACCCCTGAAATTTCGTTTTGTCACTCGACTGTTTCTTCCTTCACTCTTTCTCTATTAACTGCTGTCACTGGTGTTTTTCATTTTGTTAAGAAGGCCAAACGCATTGGAGTCAGGCCTGAATCTAAAGTAAACAGGAAAAATGTATTTGTTTGTATCAGTATGTGTGTAGTAGATAGAGGGAGTGTAGTATCCCATGGCCTACGATGGGGCTTGCCAAGCGGGACCACCTCTCTCAGAAATAGGGGTACCCAGAAAGACCGTGGCTGTGTATCAGCCCCTTCCTCTTCCTGGCAATGGGCATTTTGTGAATACACAGGTCATAGGAGGCTAGTGTTAGCAAAATTTATACAGATGTTGTTTTATTTTTATAGCTCTCCTCCATTTACTGGGTGGCATTTCCTTCAGTGTTAACAGCAGAGGTTAACTGCATACAGACGTGTATGGGGGTTCTTGCCAGGTTTTTTCCTCCTTCCCCTCCTATAAATATGTTTCTCCAGATTGTTCATTCTCTGCCTTGGCTGCAGACAGTCTTTTAGCATTCAGATTTAATTGGTTCGTTCAGTCAATTCCTGGACCATCTGCAGAACTGTGTGTGTGTTAGAAACACACTGATTATTGCATCCTCTGATAAGTGCATTTGGAAAGAAACCAAAGGTGTTCTGACGGGATTTTCTTATATGTTCAAAGAGGGGGCATTCTCATCTTTGTTGCAAATGCTGGTGCAGGGCTCTCCTTCCCCAACCCCCCATTCTGAAGGACCCCTCTTCTCCGCATCTTGCAGTTGACCAAGCAGCGCCTGGTGGATGCACATGGCATCATCAACCCCAGTGCATTCTACATCTACCTGACTGCCTGGGTGAGCAATGACCCTGTGGCTTATGCTGCCTCCCAGGCCAACATCCGGCCTCACCGTCCTGAGTGGGTGCATGACAAAGCTGACTACATGCCCGAAACCAGGCTCAGAAGTAAGTAGCCCTCCACCAGGGTGGGAGCCTCACTCCATTCTCCCAAGCTCGGCCACAGTCCTCGTCTGCTGACGCTACCCAGGGTTCAAAAGTGTAAACAGAACAATCTATTTCTTTGAGTTTAAAACTCTGGGAGACAGATGAGGGTGTGCAATGGAATACAACCCACGCTCTATCATGCTGGGAAATAAGAGTCCCTAATCTCCGTTTGTAGCTTTCACCCTTGGACATCCACCGGGCAGCTCTCTTTCATGCCAGCTGTTCCATGTGAAAGCTGGAGACGCCTCCGGGTTGAGTGTTATTTTACTATTGCAGAGTTTTATCGCTGGGGATTATATGTTTATCTTCACTTTGTCAACTCTGGTGTTGAAGGAATTTTTGGCAAGTTGGGTCATTCCTATAAGCCACCAAGCACCTGTACTCTGTCAAAGCTGTTTAAACCGGAGCAGGATAGTGTGTATACGCAGTGTCCTCTTCCTTTCCCTTCTCAGCCTTGACTTTGAAAGGTGGTCCTGTATGGATTTAATTTGCATTTGTGTTAGAGATGTGAGTAGCTTCCACCTTGGATAGGCCGAGGGAGAGGGAGGACGTGACAAAGAGGACGGGTCCCTTTGCAAACATGGCTGGAGAGGAAGCAGGTTGTGCTTCTCTGTATCTAAACCCCAGAGCCTGGTGGCAAGCAGCCAAGGCTTGTCTTAATGAAAATTTATAGTTGAGATTATAATAGGGCAAATCATGTTTAGCAAGTCAACTGAATGACCCCAAAGGGTCTGGAACACACAACGGCAGTAACTAAATGCTTGTTGTGTAAGGATTTCTTCCCCTGCTGCTGAAGACTTAGCATTGCATTAAAAAAGAAGCATGGAAGGTTTAAGTGTGTTAGATCACTAAAAGGATAAGAAAGTTAAGCGTTTTTCTCAGGAAAGCATGACTTTCGAGTTATTTTGTTCTCATAAGTGAGTGAGTAAAACAGTTTGAACTTCGTATTTTCCCTTGTGTCAGTTGAACAAAAAATGCTCCTGCCATTGAATTCTTAAGTTGTTTAGACCCATTACAAAAGTGACTGCCCCTAGAAGATTAAAATCAAAGGTTAAATGAATACACAGGCCTTAGGCTCCTGCCCTCCACCACCAAAAAAAAAAAAAAAAAAAAAAAAAACAAAACAAAACAAAACAAAAAAAACCTGTTGGTTATTGCTTAAAGCTTTTTTAAACCAAAGATTAAGATTGTAAAGACCAAAGACTGTCCTGCATACTGTTTGTCCTTCACATTGAAAGGAGTGTGGGCAGGGAACTTGGTGACAGGGTCCCTTCCCTGTTGGCTGCCATCATGGAGCCCGCGGGGTGTGGGTCTGGGTCTGGGCTGGGCAGTGTCTCCTCCCTCCCTGGGTCCCATGGCCCTGAGCCTTCAGCCATGGCCTCTTCCCTCTGTCCCCCTGTCCAGTCCCAGCAGCAGAGCCCATCGAATACGCTCAGTTCCCTTTCTACCTCAATGGCTTGCGGGACACATCTGACTTCGTGGAAGCTATTGAAAAGGTCCGAAGCATCTGCAACAACTACACCAGCCTGGGGCTGTCCAGCTACCCCAACGGCTACCCCTTCCTCTTCTGGGAGCAGTACATTGGCCTCCGCCACTGGCTTCTGTTGTCTGTCAGCGTGGTGCTGGCCTGCACGTTCCTCGTATGCGCCGTCTTCCTCCTGAACCCCTGGACGGCTGGGATCATTGTGAGTTCATATGAAGGGGTTTTGTGCAAGCCAGATTCCTTTCGGCCTGGCTCTTGCTACAGCCGGGAAGTTGTGTTTATGTCTGGGCCTCTGGAGGAGGGTATAGATTGCATCACTCTTGTTATATTTATTCTGTGGGAGGTGGCGAGGTTCATGGTTAGGTAGAGCCTTTAATGGCCTTCATCTTGTGTCTCTTCTCCTACAGCTTTAAACTTGCTGTGTAAAGACAGGGAAGTTTTAAAACACACTTTCTGTAACAGCTCCTAGCATTTATTAAATACAAACACTCTGCATTTATTAAATTCGAATATAACTTATTTATTTATTTTTACTTAAATGGTCCTTTTGTGACTACGTCCCAGACCTAACATAGAGAATATTCTTCTGAAAAAGGGGCGGGGGACAATTAGAGAAGTTTAGGACAATGGTATATGGGTAAAATGGTTTTTGAGATGGTTTTGTAGTATTGTGTGTGTGCTTTAAAGCTTAGAGGACATTGGTGAACTAGTATTACTAACCTCTTTTTTGGTATCCTTCTGTCCAAGTGTAATACTCTCAGATCTAAAGTAAGTTTCATGTAATATCTAATAAAATCATGGCACTGTTTAAATTCCATGAACTGTGGTACAGCCTTCAAAATGCCAAAATTATAAAAACAGAGACCAGGTCTCATTTATGTACCATATGTCTGTGCAGCAGGTATGTTAAAGGTAAATGTTTAGTCTGTAGGGGTTTTCATGGTACTTAAGCAATTGACGTTGTCCATCTTTCATTAGCTTATTAAAGAAAGCAAACGGAACTGTTACTGGACCTGTCCTTCCCCTGCCACCACTGCCCACTGCCCCACCCCTGACAAGGAAAGAACAGCCACTCCTCTCCCATCTCTGTAAAGTTGGCTGTTCTAGTTGTATTTTCTTCCCTTTGGCTCAACAAACTCCATAGTCTACCTCCCAGATTTTCTTTCCATCTCTGTGCAAATTTTTACAAGGCAGATGAAAGGCAAATAAGAGCTTTTCCTGGGTTTAACTGCTTGCTGTGTCCACCCGCCTTGCTCCTCATTTCTTCAAAGTGAAAGCGCCTGTAACCTGACCCATGTCAGCTGACCAGAAGTCCCCTTTCTCCCTAGTCATCCTCTCTTAACAGAACAAAAGAAAAGCTTCTATTCACTCCTCCTATCTGCTTTCTTTAGGATGGAGAGTAGGGCACAACCAAAAACTCTGAAGTTTCAATTCTGTTGTAAATTGAAGGATGGTTTTTGATGATTAAGATCAAAACAGAAGGGAATACCTTATTTTTAACTATATTAAATTTGTAGCTAGTTACAAGTCCATGTTCTGTAATTCTTAGATGACTCAAATGGAATAGTTGTGAAATTTTTTATTTTATATATTTTTGCTTTCTAGAGCAGGCGTATTGGAAAGACAGCTTATGGTAGTAATACCAAACTTTGCCTTTTTGTACTCCTTAAACAAGCTGTTGTCCCAAAGCAGCTATCCCAAAATTGTCCCAAAGTCTCTCTTCTCAGCAGCAGTGCAGTGATTTTGAAAGTAAAGACAGGTGTTCAGAGTAAAAGCAAGTCCACGCTTCCGTTGTATGTGGGTCCTGGCTGTTTCTCTGTCCTTCATCTGGAGTGAGCCCTGTCCTGTCTGCAGCCCCTCGAGTGTGTCTGTGCCCATCTGCTCATTGCGTGCATTTTCTTAAAGGTGACGGTGCTCGCTTTGATGACAGTCGAGCTCTTTGGCATGATGGGCCTCATTGGAATCAAGCTGAGTGCCGTGCCGGTGGTCATCCTGATCGCTTCTGTCGGCATAGGAGTGGAGTTCACCGTTCACGTTGCTCTGGTATGGGAGACCCCTTCATTGAGAACTTTATGGCAAGGCCAGACATTCATTCTGGCCCTCATTAGTCTCTGGGTTGGGGACCTTTGCGTTTTTTCCAACATCAAAGAACACACGTAACACGTGTCATAATGAAGAGGCTTCAGAGCACAGGCATTCCCAGTGAGAAGTGGCTGAAATTTAGGTGGATTCCTTCCCTCTGGGGCAGTCTAAGGGCAGGGCATCGGAGGTAAAAGGGTTGGCAGTGGACCGGGAGGGATTCTGCTTATTTAGTGTCATTAGTGTCATGACAGGTCAGTAAGTTGTCAGTTTTATTCCTAAGTTAGATGGTATGAGTGTGTGTGAGTGTACACAAATACACACATTTTTTAAAACCACAGTTATAAAGAGGAGATAAAGTGAGACCACACTCACAGGCGTGGGGCAGCATGACAGAGGAACTGCTTCTCTCACCTGAGCCCACCCACCTTCGACCTATCTGCTTCCAAATTCATGAGAGCAGGAAGTACGAGGACCAGGGTTGCTCTCAACAGGATTTTCCCCCTCTCTCTTTCTGTGCTCAGCCTGTGAGCAGGAGGAAGTTAAACGTCAGGGGGAGTCTTTAAACCAAGAGACAAGGGATGCCTAGGTGGCTCAGCAGTTTGGCGCCTGCCTTCGGCCCAGGGCATGATCCTGGAGACCCAGGATCAAGTCCCACCTCGGGCTCCCTACATGGAGCCTGCTTCTCCCTCTGCCTGTGTCTCTGCCTCTCTCTGTGTGTCTCTCATGAATAAATAAATAAATAAATCTTTTAAAAAAATAAACCAAGAGACAAACCCATCATGTACATTTATCAGAAAATTACTCAAAAGCCTCTGAGCAGTGTGTGAATTATGTTCTGTCCACACTTGTGCTTATAGCCTAAGTCCTTGGGGGTGTTGGTAGGCACTCAATAAATATATATTGGCTGAAGAAATACTGATGTTGGAATGCCCTAGATAGGAAACCTAGCATTGGGCCTGGGTCAAATTACTTTCAGTCTTGCTTTTGCAGTCACTAGATTTGATTTTCCTTGGGCTCAACATATGGCATGTGCATGTCTGCACGTGTGCATATCCGCACATATGCTCTGTCTTGTACCTTCTTAGTTTCTCCACAAGGAGTCTTTCAGGGGCATTTGCAGGCAGCTTAGAGACTGTAAACTGTGTTTCAGAAAGAATGTTTTGTTGGAGTTGTCCCATTTCAGCAAAAAACTGATAATACAGAACCAGTATTCTCTAGGTTTTGAGCCTACCCAAATTATTTTCCTCCATTGAGCTGGGAGGAGGGAGAGGGGATTTTTTATTTAAAAGAAGAGCTCACAAAAAAAAAAAGAGAGAGAGCTCACAGCCTAGGACCTAGAACATAAATAATTCTTTATCTCCAGAATTGAGAAAACTTTCCATGAGAGTTAGGAATCCACCAGTCCTTTTATTCTAATGCCAGTGAAAACCACTTTTTTTGGTAGCTAGCATTGCAAACAAGAGCGTTCTAGAACAGGTTTTCATGGTGGAAGGGAAAACTGCAGCTTGTTGTGGCACTCTGGGCTTTACACATGAGATGGTACGAACATCAGTGTGCACACCAGTGCTGGATAAACGATTAATGAATGCTTCCACCGCTCATACAAAATTTAATTCCAAGAATTTAAGGAGTCCCAAAAGCCACCTTGGCTTTGTGAGCAGTAATCCCTGCTCAGTGCTCATAGCCTACACTTTCATTGAGAGACTGTCCATGTGCAAAATACGGTGTCCTTACCTGAGCATGTATGTGAAGGTCTACTTAAAGTGGGTCGGTGCTGCTCTTTTGGGCTTTGTAAAATGATGGAATAAGGCTGGTGAGGAGCACTATTCTTCTATGAACATCTTGAGAGAATCAGTGGGTTCCTGTCAGTTCCCTGTTCCCCACAACATAAGTTGTATGTGAGATGATACAACCCAACTTGACCCTTGTCACCTCATGGCCCAAGTATGGCACAAAGTAACACGGTTCCAAACCATCTTGGTGCTTTCCTCCCAAGACAGAAAGGCAATTCTGCTGACCCTTTAGCCTTCCCCACTTCTGAAAGAGTATGTGCTTTCTAGAGCATATGCACTTTAGAGAAAAGTATGAAAACTCATAGTACATTTCTGCATACTTTTCTTTCTTCCTCTGTTCAAGAGAACAACCTGAGTGTTCTTCCACAAGTTACGCAAGGGACGGAGTGTACCCAGTGTGTGGTTGGTCTTGATATTTAAGGAACTGTGGTCTGCAGAGTTCCCAAGCCTTCTTTTCTCAGCTATATCCCAGAGCAGCCTTTTAACTTTCAGGCAGAGAAAGGGCTTGTGCCAGGCTCCTGTTAGGGTCTCGCCAAACGGCCAGGCAAGGTTTAATAGTAACTGACTCACATTAACCCAGTCCTGGGTCATCCTGCAAAGCCAACAGTCTGATATGCTGGGGCTTACTCTATAAAGTTGCCATTTGGTATCAAGAGCATTCTTGACCTAGTGGAGCTTTAGGACATGAAGGAGGTGGGGATAGGACCACATAGAGTTAGAACTTTTTGAATTTTGAGTCCTAAGTTTTTCCTGTGACACTTCCATGGCACGTTAGTTTCAACACAGCAAGGGAAATCCTGCCTCATCATGAGGAAGAAGGTACTTAGCACCCAGTTGCGTGCACCCCTCAGCTAGGCCTGCTTGGAAGTAAGATCTGAACCTTCCACAAAATCGAGAAGGGTGCTCTCATCTTCACTCTGTGGGCCCAGATAAATGCCAGAGATCATGTAGGGTGGGGAGGAAAGCCCAGGGCAGCCACAGCAAGAAAGAAGAGGACATTTTGCTCATTTTTGTATCATTTCTGTTTGGTTTTTAATTTAAAGTAAATATGCTTTCTGTCTTTTTTTGTGGCAGTTCAAGATTTACATCAACACCAAATATGACACGGTATCACGAACAGGTCGCATTAGCATAAGTCTAGGTTTGGGGTCTTGAGCCATCCGGATTAAATATTCCAGAAGCTAAAACAGAAGCTGTTCTGAGAAGGTCTGTAGGTCCGGGTGCCCTCTCACCTCCCCTTGTCCTTGCGCAGGCTTTCCTGACAGCCATTGGTGATAAGAACCGCAGAGCCGTGCTGGCCCTGGAGCATATGTTCGCACCCGTCCTGGACGGCGCCGTGTCCACTCTGCTGGGAGTGCTGATGCTGGCGGGCTCAGAGTTTGATTTCATTGTCAGGTAAGCAGGAGGGGAGACGGTTCTTACTCCTAAGAATCATTATCACTCCTGTGATCTCCATTGCATATTTCCTTCTGTATCTGTACGTAGCTGCCTGTCTTCATGGTGACTGTACTCTCCCCCACCAGATTTATTTGAGCTCTGACCGACACATAAAAATCGTATATTTTTAAGGCATACAATGTGATGTGTGGCTGTACGAATACATTGTGAATTGATCACCACAGTCCATGACTCCACTTCCTATTGAGTTTTTTAACTCAGAGACCTGCTGAGTGGTAGAAGGACAAGCTCCCTTCTAGAGCCATCTTAGGGAACAGCTTGGGGAGGAGAGATGGAAAGTCTGTGACCAGTAGCAAAGAGCTCCACAGCGTGAAACCAGGGGGCCACCCAGTACCCCAGTTCTGACCTTGGTTCCCCTTCACTGACCTCCATTTCTCTTCAAAACGATAGAACACTTACAGATACCTAAAATTGTCAACTATATTTTAGTCTTCTAAGAAGCAGAGGTAGTGTGCTCAGACTTCACATTCAGGTTCTTAGTAAGATGTAGAGAACATTAAATGTGTGAGTTTGGTGTCAAATCTTGGTAATCGAGACCTAGTTTGGATACTACTTTTTGGATCCCTAGGCAAGCAGTTTCTGGTGGATTTATGAAGAATAAGAGTTTTTGGCTTAGAAAAGGAGTTTTTCCTTTGAAAAGAATTTGAGAACTGCAGGGAAAGACCATTTTCTTCTCTGAATGGCCCCCACAGCCTGCCCCAGTGGGCAGCGGGGCAGCAGAGATTAAGCCTTCCTCGAAGGCATGCCAGAGTTGCATCAGCGTAGTTAGCACAGGGCAAGTGCAGAGGTGGCACAGCTATCACGGTGTGGACCAGACTTCTCCGACCACATCATGCTTCTGAATCACCCAAGGCTCTGCAAATGCAGCTTGGATGTCGCTAGGGGTAGGGAGGGTGCAGAGCAGAGTTTGTATTTCTAGCCAGCTCCCAGGTGATACCCATGCCACCGGTCTTCTCAACCCAGTGCCGTTAATCAGCTAACAATCCAATTAGTACATTCTTGTTTGCCAATACCAGGTAAATGTGTGCCTGAATTAGATCAAGCTTTTGGCCTAAGTTTTATTTTCAGCTCTTGACTTTGACCTTTCCTTTATTTCCATAGCATATGCGTATTTGGGCATTAGTAGATGTTTCTTTATGGGGTAAAACCCCTATGTCAAGGAGAGTTTCTTTTACATGATTTCTTATGAGGTGCTTGTTACACTGTGTTGAGTGAGAAACATGTAACGAGCACCTTGTAAGTGCCATCAAAGGCAGCAGCAAGTAATGTGGACCTCATCCCCCTCCATGTAGCGTACAGTCTTGGAGGGTAGAGGGAGCTGATAGGTGGTGCAGCAGCATGGGGAAATGATGGGTATGATGGGATCTCAGAGGATCTCAGCCTTGCGGGGATGCTGAGTGAGCCACAGTGGGGGTATCTTTGCCAGAATCAGCGCAACCAGCTGGGAACCAGGATGGAGGGCAGAGTCCCAGCTCTCCTCTAACCCATGGCTTCCTGTTCTCTCCCAGAGATATCAGGGTTCTTGTTTCAAGCACTTAAAAGGGCTTCCCATTTTCTAGAACTGGATGGATTAACCAGATAAAGCCCTCACTGAGGTCAGCTAAATGAGCAGACATTGTATACACTAAGCCGTCAGAAATCTAATTGGTCTGTTTATTCTACAGTTAGATGGATGGGATGCAAATGTCTTAATGCTGCTGCTGATATATGCTTCAGCCTAAAGTTCCAGCAGTTTACATTAGAGCAAGACATTGGCAGCTTGCTTTTTACTAATGCAGCTCAGAAGTTTCTAGTGTTTACAATAGCTGCGAGGTATTTGTATTTTTATAGGGATTCTCACTCCTTTCATCTAATGTCGAAACATATAGTCATGGCAAAGTTTGGTGCCTGTTCTGTTTTATGATCAAGAGGACCATTAACAGATAGATATCTTGCCTTCCTCCCTCACAGAACATCCTGAGCACCACCCCCCCCCCAGGCCAATTCTAGCAAAATTGCCCTAGATATCATTAGTTCCAGAAGACATACACTTGAGTGGAGCCCACTCCCTCCAGCTGTGTGGAGTGTCCGCCAGCAGCTCTCCTGAGCTGACAGGTTTACCTTGGTATTCATGAAGGATCCCAGACCTTAGCCCTCAGTGGTGGGAAAGCAGGGCCACTTGTGCACTCTCCTCGTCTTCATGGTGCTGTGGCCTTTATGTGTGAATTGGCTGACGCAAAACAAGAGTATTCAGAGATGCTAAATTGTTCAACAAAAGATTGGCCCACAGAGCAGCCCCCTCATTGTGGACCGCCCTCCCCCGCAAATACCCCAGCAACCACAGAATGGGCAGCGTTTTCTTTGGAGAAAGCTGGTTCTTGTGTGCTAAAAAAGGTTGCATTTGGAGCCGTTTGGTAAAACTGGAACTCACAGAATTCTAGGCAGAAAGTTGTGATTAATGAAAGCCCAGGGAAAGCCTTACCTGATACGCTAGAGACTTAATTAGAGATTCTGCTCTAAGATGCAGAAGCATTTCACAGTGGATTAGCTGCCTGCAGAAGTGGGCTGCTTTTCCTCCTGAGCTAAATTGTTTAAATTCTACACCCTTCACTTCATTTGTTTGCTTCTGCTGGGTTTTCACGGACAGGGCCCCTCTGCATTGTGTTTGTGCTTCCAATCTGCTCAGCAATTCAGCTCACATTCCATATTTTTGTGTTTGTGTAACACATTCATAAATAACATTACATGCCAGGAGATTTCAGCAAATTAACAAACTAATTTTTCTCTTTTCCCTTCACAAACTAACACTTTGGGTTGTGGAATATAGACCTCGACCTTGTAGTCACAAGGTAAAAAAAGGGGGAAAAAAACCCCTAATCTCCTGCTGAATTTGAACCACAGTTTTATAACCACCTTTTCAAACATGTGGGCTGTGTTAATTTCTGGTTTTGACATACTACGTAACATTTGGGCACGTGAAGGCTAGCTTCATTTACTTTTGTCACAGTGAATGTTCCTGTTTCTCTTTTGTCTTCAAGGTATTTCTTTGCTGTCCTGGCGATCCTAACAATCCTGGGTGTTCTCAACGGGCTGGTTTTGCTGCCAGTCCTTCTGTCCTTCTTCGGACCGTATCCTGAGGTCAGTAATTCCCAGGAGTAACGTACCATCCTCAGGCTGCCTGCATGCTGCCCTTCTTAGGGTCACTGTTGATTTAGATATGTAGGTAGAGCAGCATTACTGACTGTTTACCGTTCCAGTAAAGAGTCAACAACAATAGCTTTTTTTCTCTTCAATTTAATAGTTTGGGGGATGTAGTATTCATTTTGGTTCAATTTGGTCTGGGTATTTTAAACCACTTAAGTGATTGGCAGCCTGAGTCTTGTAGTTAGTTCTCTATCAGTGAAGCATTTTCCGCTCAAGATGAGTATCCGGGCTTAAAAAAACAAAAGGGCATAGGCTGCTTCTCAGAGTGTAAAAGCAGAGGGCAGTTCCTTTGCTCCAGCCAATAGGCCTGATGGTCCTCGCGATGGCAGCGTGGGGATGGAGAACGTGGGATAGTGGGAGAGGCTGGGGCTGTGGGGAGCCAGGTGCAGAGACCCCCAAGTGATACTGTGCTTTGTGCTTTGAACGTGACCAGCAGGTAAATGAATGATAACACTTTTACTGTGGAATCTCCTTAAATAGGTATCTCCAGCCAACGGGCTGAACCGACTGCCCACCCCTTCCCCTGAGCCACCCCCCAGTGTGGTCCGGTTTGCCGTGCCACCCAGCCATGCAAACAATGGGTCTGATTCCTCTGACTCGGAGTACAGTTCTCAGACTACAGTGTCGGGCATCAGTGAAGAGCTTCGGCACTACGAGGCCCAGCAGGGCACCAGGGGCCCTGCCCACCAGGTGATCGTGGAAGCCACAGAAAACCCCGTCTTTGCCCGCTCCACTGTAAGTCATCCAAGGGGCAGCCCCCGCCTCCTCTGAACAGCAATTCCCAGACAGATAAGATTTTAAAATAAAGTAGAGATTAGGTGGAATCATGAAATTGCTGTTGTTTGACTCCCTAAACTATAAAAACATCAGTTCCATGTGGTCAGATGTTTTATGGATTGAAAAGGGCAGTGGCCAGTAACATTAGCTCTGGGAAGCATAGGTGTGCATCTCATTAAGGCTGAGTACAATTGGAGCTTAAGAGCCAGAGGTAAAGTGTGCTTTGCTGGGACTTCTGCTGTGGTTTTTGGTTGTTTTGTTTTTAAGCTACGTGTCATTTTAGAATAACACTTTTTAAAAATGTAGTGGTATTTTATTGCCAACAGAGTGATTTTTCTCCCTCTCCTTCTGTTACATTTAAATGCCCTTGGTACAAAATGATTTCAGTTACTGATGTCTAAGACGTTACCACAAGTAGCTGGAGAGAGCAGAGGAGCTCAGCCCTCAGTCATTCAGGAAAACCATGAGAACCCAGGAGCCCCTTCTCAGAGGCTCCAAGAGCCATAGCCATGTCCTGCCCTCTCTGTGCTCCCCAGGATGGCCTCAGCTCCCCAGGCCCAGAGCACAGCACACAAAACCCAAGGAAGGTTCTAAGACTTGTATTACTCCAACTGAGGGCCTCCTGCTGTCCCTCCAGGAAATGGGTATTCCAGTCCCAGGCCACAGCAGCCCTAGCATGAAAGAGAGAGAGGCCAACCAAATAACCTAAATTTTCCTCCTCTTACCCCCCGTGACGATGCCTGCTGAGCTGCAGTGTGAATCTGGTTTTGTTCAGCGGGAGCCTAAAAATAGGTACAAGCTGAACGACTTTGAAGTTGGTCACGGTCCTTTTGATTGATGTGGCCACTGTGTTGCTCCATGCTTTGTATAGAGACCCAGAAACCAGATTCCTAACAACCGGACAGAGCAGCGCTGCCCCATAGAACTTTCCGTGATGATGGAAATGCTCCCTCTGTGCTCACCAATATAGTGAGCACTGACCACATGTGGCTGTTGGGCAGTTGAAATGTGGCTAGTGCAGCAAAGGAACTGAATTTGGAATTTTGTTCATTTGAGTGTAAAGAGCCATATGTTCCTAGTGGCTACTGCGTTCAGCAGCGTACATAGAGACAGTCCTGCCAGTGTACTGCATTTGGGTGAGCCAGAGCCAGATGTTCAGCAGTTTACAAAGAGGAGGACCTTGGGATCTGACCCTGCAGCACAGGGTGGGGTGGCATGCTGGAGGAGGGAGGCAGCCCCGGTACCTCCAACCACAGCCCTGCATTTATGGGCAGCAGCCATATGTATCCGGCCAGCTGTGCTAGAGAAGGCCTAGATGCCAGGTCCAAATGAGGCCTTCCTCTGCCACGTCAGGGAGGTTCTAAAAGAACAGGTTTTTCTCTTGTTGGTGGGAGGCCCTGTTGGTTCCCCGAGGCCTCTCCCAGCCATTTGTGGGGTTGACTGAGCACTGGGTGAAGAGCTGTGTGTGGGTGGCCAGCAGGAGCCTGCGCCAAGAAGAAAAGGCTGGGCGCTGCAAGGGGTGATACCCCGCCTGGGGTGAGCGTCCCGCCTGTTGTAACCTGCCCTTGCCCTCTGCAGGTGGTCCATCCCGAAGCGAGACATCACCCACCCTCAAACCCTCGACAGCAGCCCCCCCTGGACTCAGAGCCCCTTCCTCCTGGGCGACCAGGCCAGCAGCCCCGGAGGGAACCCCCCAGAGAAGGCTTGCGGCCGCCCCCCTACAGACCGCGCAGAGACGCTTTCGAAATTTCTACTGATGGGCATCCTGGCCCTGGCAGTAGGGACCGCGCGGGCCCCCGGGGAGCCCGTTCTAACAACCCCCGGCACCCAGTGTTCACTGCCATGAGCAGCTCCGCGCCCAGCTACTGCCAGCCCATCACCACTGTGACGGCCTCGGCGTCCGTGACTGTTGCTGTGCACCCCCCGCCTGCGCCTGGGCCTGGCTCTGCTTGGAACCCCAGAGGAGGACTCTGTCCGGGCTACGGGGACTGCCCGGAGACTGACCACAGGCTATTTGAGGACCCCCACGTGCCTTTTAACGTCCGGTGCGAGAGGAGGGACTCCAAGGTGGAAGTCATAGAGCTGCAGGATGTGGAATGTGAGGAGAGACCCCGGGGCGGTAGCTCCAACTGAGGTGCGTGTGGCAGGTGGGCGGCCCGAGTGTGTTGGAGGGACGCTCGGGGCAGAGCTCCTTGGGGCTTCTCAGACTGCCTTCTCCAGGAGCCAGACCGAACCCCAGTGACCTCTGATGTCCAAGCTTTGTCATCCTTGGGGAACCGGTCGAGTCCCAAATTGGGTCCCTCACCTTGCAGCTAACCTTGGTGAGCGTTAGTGCAAGTTCACAAGGATGCTGGCAGCTGCATCTTTCACCTGGTTTTCAGTCTCTATAAGGCACCATAACAGGTACATATGATGCATAGCTTGGGGAATGGACACATCCATGTCTCTGGCCCTCCGATCATAGAAGGGTTCGCCACCTGCCCCTGGAAGCCCCTCATGCCCTCACTCAGCACCCCCATCCTGATCCTAATACCGTTGACCAGTTTCCTTGATTTTGTGCTTTCTTAAATATATGGACTCGTAACACCTGTTGCCTCATTTGATTTCTTTTTTCTTTTAAAGGATGAGCAGAATCTGATGCAAAGAGGCCAAAGATTGGAAGCCCCCGACCCCCACCCCCAAACTGCTTGAAGAGAACTGCTTAGAGTTACACAGATGTGCACACCAGAAGAGCAGTTCAGCGTTACTGTAACCGATTGTATTATTTTGTGAAATAGTTCTATAAATATTTAAGAGGTGTACACATATGTAATATACAAAGGAACGAACGGATATAAAGTAGTGTGATGTGGGCCTTCGCCACCACTGCCCTCAGAGCAGGCGGTGGGGAGGCCGCCGCAGGGCCCCTCCCGAATTGTACATGGATCTCTGTGCCACAACCAAGCTTAACTTAGTCTTAAATTTCAGCATATGTTGCTGCTGCTTAAATATTGTATAATTTACCTGTATAATTCTATGCAAATATTGCTTATGTAATAGGATTATTTTGTAAAGATTTCTGTTTAAAATATTTTTAAATTTGCATATCACAACCCTGTGGTAGTATGAAATGTTACTGTTAACTTTCAAACACGCTATGCGTGGTAATTTTGTTGTTTAATGAGCAGATATGAAGAAAGTACATTAACCCCGGTGGCTTCTCCAGGTGTAACTGGATGTGATTCTGTTTGGCTGTGTGTGTGTGAACACGTGCGTGGTTTCCCAATGTACTGTACTGTGATTTTATTTTTTTCTTTTTTTTTTTTTTTTTTTTTTGTCTCTTTTCACTGTCTGTAATCCTTCATGGGCTCTGCCCTAGTTAGGCTGGAAGAGTCAGGATATCTTTATTGCTTGGTGCTGGTGGAAAGCTAGCCTTGAATGTCGCCTTACCCTTTGCCAGACCTGCTTCAGGTCCAAGGCATCTCTTTCAATCATGGCTGCTATCCAGACACTCCCAATTCATGCCTCAGAGGAGACGGGCTGTGTCGCGTGGGTCACTGTGGTGGACATTGGAACCTCAGGATTTAGAGCTAATATCTGTTCATCTTCATTGGTATTAAAGAGTTAGAAGACACGTTTAGTGGTGAGCTCCCACCGGCCACAAACGTATACTCTAGAGATGCAGCCTTCATGCAGCCTTCATGGTACCTCTTGTCACACACACACACACACACACACACACACACACACACGTACTTCAAAAGTTTAAGAGCAAATTGCAAATCTTTCAGAAGCAATGACCCTGCTACAAGTAGAAAAACCTGTTAATTCAGCGCTCACTGTCAACCCAGAGGTGATGTTCCGAGTCCCTACGGTTTAAATTCCCCCTCTTCCTAAATTGCACAGTTGGTTGGGGCTTTTTGCATCCATTTGTACCTTCTTTAAAAATAAATAGCATCTAGTGTGGTGATACAGCGTCAGAAGTTCTGATAAGAGCTTCCAAAGGATCCTTCGCAGTGTGCTACTATTAATGTGATGGGTACACACCTCCTAAATCAACGGTGTCCCTCCTCCCAACCTTAGTAGTGTTCTTTCCATGTGACACTGATCAGAGAGCAGGGAGATAGATGGTAATTGCATACACCCCACTGAAGATTGGATATGGAGGCAGATCTCTCAACCAGGCATTATATTTACAGATCTGCTTCTATATCATCATTCGTCTTGCTCTGAGGTTTGGTCTTCCTCCGCTCTCAGCTGGAGACCTGCAAGTGTCGGGGAGGCAGTCGATACCCAGACTAAGCTACTGTAGGAGCACAAATGGCAGCTCCCATTGTGCCCTCATGTTTCACACAGAAAATCTCAGTCAAAAGGCAATGGGCTCCCAGCAGTACCCAGCAGTATAGTGACCTCAGACCCTAAAACTTGCCGCAAAACTGTAAGATACTAATTGGAAGCCACCTGTGGCCACCAGGTGTGTGTGTTCATGTGCCAGGGGCCCCGGCGGGCCCGCCTCTACTGTTCAGAGCCTCTGTCAGCCACACTGTCACCTAACACCTAGCTCTGCTCAGAAAACTTATGTCCTGCATTCAAGAGAGAGATGGTGCAAAATTCTGAGGTCTGCTTCCCTCTGGCGCGTGGCATGCCCTCTTCACTCCTTTCCTGAGCCCAGCTTGTGTGGTGCATGACAGCTTGCATGCCCCCGCTTCTGCACAGTCTAGAACTCTCTCCCATGGTCACATTTGCAAAGGGAGAACTTGGGGACAGGCAGGCAGCCAGAATTTCTCTCTCTCTCTTTTTAAAATAGTTTTATTTTGTCTGTCTTGTTTGTTAATTTGGATGTTTTAATTTTTTTAAAAAATCTTTGCTGATATTTATAATTTTGTATCATAAGAATGTTTTCCTACACTATTTGTCATGCCAGTTTATAACAAAAAATGCAGGGATTTTATTTCTGTTGGAAACACTATTACAGCTGTTTTACTTTTGAACAGAATTTTTATTTGTATAGAGTGCTTACTAATGTTAAATAGTTCAGAGTATATAACATTTTCATTAAGGACTCATGGTAGGTGTTAGTGTAAGGAGTTTAAAGGAAATAAATATTCAAACTGGGTCTCATTGTCTGCCAGTTTGGGCAGAAATGGGTTTGTGTCATTTCAATTACAAAGATAAAAGTATGCCATATAATTTATTTATATGAAAATTTATTTTTGTAGTGTATATAGTAGTCATCAAGTCTTTTGACAAAAGTATATTTTTAAAGAATTTATATGTGATGAATCCATAATGTCTGGAACTTTGCTGAGACATGAGTGGGGCACACTTTTCATTGTAAAGTACAGCAAGGAAAAGAAAATGTCTAACAGTGTTAAGAGAGTGAGAGATCGAGTAAATATTCATGCGATTGTGAAATATGTATTAGTTACCATTTGTGACCTAGTGTGGTTCTCATTTTAAACCTTGGAAGGCAAAAATGTACAAACTCTCTAAATATTAATGTTCAAACACTGATAGAAATTCTAACATGAATAAAAATAATATAACTTGTTGGTTATGTGTTCGTTCATAGAATGTTTTTTTTTTTTTTTCAAAGATTCTACTTGTTTGAGAGACAGAGCGGGAATGGGGGGAGGAACAGAGGGAGAGGAGGGACAAACAGACTCTGCGCTGAGTGGGGAACCCGACATGGGGCTCAATTCCCGGACCCTGAGATCATGACCTGAGCAGAAATCAAGAGTTGGACACTTAACTGACTGAGCCACCTGGGCGCCCCTATTCACAGACTGTGTTTTAATTATATTTTACAAAGGCAGTTAGCATGTCAGGCCACCATAAACTTCATTGTTTTGTCTTAGTAACATTGCTAAAGAATCCTTCCTTGTCCTACCTCATGGAAGCATTGTTGATAGAAGAACTGTAGGTTTTTATTTTCCAACATCAAGAGAGTTCCTAAATTATTGTTCAAAATTATATCCTGTCATCTCTTACCAATATTTTTTATGTGATGTCTGATAATTAGAGGGAATATTTATAAAGACAAATGTGATGATTATCAAAATAAACGAAGGTACCACACTTTTAAACAAGGTAGGTGACCATATGGGGCTGATTGAGCCTGATACAGAATGGCTCTTCCTGAGTGTCCATGATCTGATTATGTCTCATCTTCATTGTAGCCATGGAGAAAAATAAGGCCGGGAATATCATACCCAACTGAAAGCAAGGAATGGTGGGGAGGAACCTGAGACCCAAATTGTCAGGAACACATGGTGAGAGGTCAGCAAACTGCAGTCCACAGGTTCCCTCCTGTTTTTGTAAAGGTTTAGCAGAAGACAGACGCACCCATTGACATCCAGATAGTCCATCCATGGCCGCTTTCCAGCTACCACGGCAAAGATGGGTAGTTGTGACCCAGTGTAGCCTACAAAGCCTCAAATAACTGGCTCTTGAGAGTTTGCCAACCCAGTTTAAGCTAGGGTTATCCTAGGCCAATGATACTTGGGTGGGGTTCATGGATCCACAGCTTTGACGTGCCTTGGAAGCTTTCCAGAAAGGCAGAATCTTCAGTGCCCCTCCCCCGCCCCCCCAGAACTACTGAGTCAGAATCCTGGGAGTGAGGCCCAGGAACCCGTGCGCTAACCAGCTGTCCTGGTGGTTCTGAGCACCAGCGGCGACTGTCCCTAGACTCTTTCCAGCTGAATGTATTCTGGGACCATAATCTGGTCAGGCTACGGCTACACAGCCAGTGCGGGCCAGGTCTGAAAATGACGTAGAGATGCCAACTCCTGTGTCATCTTTCCACAAAAGCACATGTTCACCCATGGGAAAGAGTGGAGACCTGTCAACTGTCTCTGTGTCTGGGGGTCCAGAGAGAGGAAATCCTTTTCAGGGCTCTGCCACCACAGGGGCAGGATGCCAGGGGAGGGCGTGGGCTTGTGACTCAGGCAGGGGAGGGAGGCCCCTCCAGGCCAGAGCCTGTCCCCCCTTCCAGCTGACAGGGGTGCAGGTGATCAGCTCTGACTTGGGCAGGTCGCTGGAAACCTTGGAGCCTCTGTATCCTCATCTGCATAGAAACTAAAGATAATGCGTGTCCTTTGCAGACTTCTGAAGGTGGAGAGCAGTGATGGTTGTGATGAAGTCTGGCCCAGAGGGGACAGTAGGAGTCAACTGAAAAAACTGGAACCCCTGTGGACCCCAGACTGAATAAGATGCTCCAGTAATAAAATGTCCTTCCTTAACAGATCCATCATCTACAAACAACAGTCATAAAGTGTTAAGCAGAGTTTCCTGCCTTAGAACTTCATCATTTCACCTCCTGGTCTAATCAACAATGTCTTCCTAAAGCACTTCGGTGGTGAACTTCTTTTTTTTTTTTTTTTCGGTGGTGAACTTCATACATAATGCTCACTTGGTCATGGGGAATAGGTATCCCCTGAAACTGAGCATGGAAAATATTAATTTCATTAATTAGAATTCAAATTGAAAGACTCTTAGACATGTTTTATACCACCAAAATGAACATTCATTGCCATCCAATTTTATATTCTTTATAAATTACATATACCTAACTAAGTAAGCTAATTTAGTTTTTCATGTTGGCCTGGGGAGAAGTTTTTAATCAGATTTGTGTCCCCAAATCCACCATATTTATTCAGGACTTAGGTAAACGTAAGGCCCCATTATTTTTGGCACGATGGGTATATTTAACAGCTTTGGGAATGCTGCATGCTGCTAAATTTCGGGCAACAGCCACATTGATGTAAAGGCAGGTGTTTCATTTTTGGTAACTGGCAACTGACCTCCCAAAAGGAGAAGTGGAGATGGCCTATTAATCATCCAAAAAGAATATTTGCCAAGTTTTAATTACTTTTAATGAAGGTTGCACCTAATGAGAACACGCCTCAAACACCAATCTGTCTAAGCATTCACATTGTCATGACGGAGAACATGTTGGACACCATTTTTTGCATAAGTTCCCTGCCAGGAAATAACTGCCATTTAGGGATCTTGGAGGGAATTCTGATCTGTTAGGAACATGTTGGGCCTCAGGAAAACAGAGGGACCCAGGACTCTGTTACATAAAGAAGGGAGTAGTAGAGAAGATCCAAATGGAGCTTGGCCTGGCCAACGCATGTGTGTTCTACATGGCAGGGTGTTTTTTACTGTCATTGGTTCTCACCTACTTTTTAGGAATTCCCTTTCTTGGGGCAAAGAGAATGGGCCTTTCAGCTGAGAGGGAGCCCTTGCCCTGACAGACACACCCCAGTGAGCACTGTCACTAGAAGAGGCAACCACAGCCACAGCTTTCTCAAAGTCAATTGAACCCCTTTACATTCCTTTTTTCTGGAGTGTGTTCCTTTACTCATCTGCTCCCTATCCACAGGACTTAAGAGCCAGGGCTTAGGCGTATGATATAAGCTACCACTGAGGCAAAAATAAAGCCAGATAAGAGTTCACACTACAGCAAGCCCAGGAAATACCTCTGTCAACGGCAATATCTTTGTACACAATGGACAACAGCTTGTATTTTCATGGAAAGGGGGGTGGTGGATCAGAACCGGTTTTATTTTTGTAAAGAGAAAAATCATGTAGATGGAGGAGAAATTGATGAGCAAGTCCTGACTGGTGAGGACTGCAGCCTTAAGCCCACATTTAAGATGCCAAAATAATAATCTTTGTAATTACAAATTTCAATCAGCAGCAGCAGTAGGTAGACTCTCGGTGAGAGCCTCTTATGCAGCAAGAAGCGAGATGAGGCAGGAGAAAAGCAGGAGGCTGTCGGCTATGGGCTGAGAGAGAACACAGCTCCCCATTGGGGACCCGTGCTCAGGTGTCCACAGAACGGGGCCAGTACTCTGGAAAAGGCCGAAGTGCCACCAAAACTAGGAAAAAAGACCATTACAATGAGGAAGAGGCAAGAAAAAAGAGTGGAAGAGAACACAAAGGGACAAAGATCTTCTTCAAAACATCCATGGGGCTGCAAGAGCCATAGCCAGTCCATAAGACTCCTGTTGGTACCAAAGCCTCACTATGTGCCCTCGGCCCTTCTATCCCTAGATGCTCTTTCTTTCCTTATTCAGCTCCCACCTTACCTGGAACCGAGGAAGGCTATCACGAGTCATGGGGATTTGTCACGAATCATGCAGATTTGTCACGAATCATGCAGATTTGTCATGAATCATGGAAGGCTAATGCCATCTGATACCTTGGACAGATTAGGCCCCAAAAGTGTGGGGGCAGTGATAGGACATTCTTTTTTGGCGGGGGGGGTAGTCACACAGAGAGAGAGAGAGGCAGAGACACAGGCAGAGGGAGAAGCAGGCTCCATGCAGGGAGCCTGATGTGAGACTCGATCCTGGGACTCCAGGATCATGCCCTGGGCCAAAGGCAGGCGCTAAACCGCCGCGCCACCCAGGGATCCCCTTTATCGATTTTAAAGTGAGTATTTGTCTTCCTTATATATTCAGAATATAAGGCCATTTAATGGCCTTTGTCACGAATCATGCAGATTGTCATGAATCATGGAAGGCTAATGCCATCTGATACCTTGGACAGATTAGGCCCAAAAGTGTGGGGCAGTGATAGGACTTCTTTTTGGCGGGGGGTAGTCACACAGAGAGAGAGAGGCAGAGCACAGGCATGGGAGAAGCAGCTCCATGCAGGGCCTGTTGTGGGACTTGATCACAGGTCTCCAGGATCGCGCCCGGCCAAAGACAGGCGCCAAACCGCTGCGCCACCCAGGATCCCAAAGGATATGTTTCTAATTGCTTAGCATATTCCGTATTCTGGGCCCCGAGCTGCCCTGTGTGCGCGCACCAGGTACACACCAGGTGCACACGAGTTTACGCCCGCGCTGAGGCTAACGGCCGCGATGGAGGAAGCAATTAGCAAATCTCTGACTTACCCTTCTGATTACACTTAAATTCCAAAAGCTAATTGGCTAAAATGTTTCTCCTTAATTAGAAGCAATTAATAGGTGAGGCTAGGTTTGCATTCACAAGAGAGTTTGCATTTCATACCCAAAGTCGCATAGTTCCTTCACCGACGGTCCCTAACGGCCCTGACCCGAAGACGCACAAGCACAACCGCAGCGGCGCGTCGGCCGTGCGGTGGGAGGGAGAGCACGGCCGGGTGTGAGCCGCCCCTTGGCCCAGGGCGCGTGCGCACCCACCTGGCCTGCAAAACACACGCCCTCTCGTTGCAGGTCCTGCCCTGCCCACCTTGACGCCTTCCGAATTTCCTCCTGTCTGGCTGGTTCCCTCTCCCGAGAAGGCGTGCCCGCCCTCCCCTCCTCGGTGGGGCCAGACTCTCGACACCGAGGCCGAGGGGACTCCCTCCAGAGCCCACAGGCTGAGGGCGGGGCGCACCCCGTGAGCAGTCGTGCTAGTGATCAAACCTCGGGCTCTGGCCCGCGGGTCAGGCCAGAGGTCACTGCTCCACACAAACCCAGGGGACACGACGGGGACGGGGGTCGTGGGTGAGCAGGAGGGAGCACCGAAGTGCAAGAGGCCACAGGGAGAGATGGCAGCAGGTGGTGAGGAGAAAACGAAGCCG